GCAACTTTAGCCTATTATCTAAGAAACTAAGAAAAAGGTTTTTAGGTAAAAATTCTTTTTCCTTAATATATAGAAGTACTCTAAAAAGAAAGAAATATAGTATTTAAAAAATTAGTACTATAATAAGCCTAACTATTAGAGTATAATAAATATAAATAATAAGGCTTTAAGGGCCTATATAGCTATTCCTAATAAGCGCGCAGATATCTATAAATTTTCTGCAGTCTTTTATAGATATATACTATCTATAGCTTTTTATATATTTTCTATAGCTTTATATAAGTAAGTATTTTCTACTACTAGCTAATTTAGGTGTATTTAGTAGCTGTTTTTTTATAAAGCTATATATAGGTATATACTTTTTAAAGGCTTAGATTTATTTATCTCCTTAGTTAGCTTTAGTAGTATTACGTAAATAATATATAGATAAACCCTAATAAATAGTCTACCGGGCTTTCTAAGCTAAGCGCACGCGCAACCTACCTTTTTTTAACCCTTTTCTTCTCGCTCTTATAAAAAGTTATAACCTTTATCCTCTTTCTAGAAGGCTGCTACTAAATATAGTTATTAGAAACTATTAGGTAACTGCCTTTCTAGTTTATTCCCTTTTTTTTTAGCCTTTTTTTTACTTTAGTACTATATAAATTGCTGTAAATAGCAGGTTATAAGGTGGAAAAGTATAGACCTATTTACTTCTAGCCTACTATAATAGGCGGCCTATTCTTTTTCTATTTCTATATTTCTATTTCCTACTCTAGATATTCCCTTTATAGCTAGCAGTTTACCTTAGTATAAAGGAATATTATTATAGGTTAACTTCTAGATAGAAAGGTATATAGTAAGGTAGACCGGTGCTAGTATATAAACGGTATATAATAGGTAATTAGGCCCCTTTTTAATAGTAGCGGCTTGCTTCTAAATATTATTATCCTTTATCTTCTTATTTTTAGCCTGCCTTCGGCAGCGTATTAGGCCTTAGCCTCTACTTAGTATAATATAATTAAACTCTATTTTCTTTCTTTTTAGTAATGCGTAATACTCCTTTTTATAACTATTCTAACCTATATTATTATAATACTAGTACTACCCTAATTTAGTACCTTTATAGTTTTATCTAAAACTATAGCCTATTTATTTAGTCTAGGATAAAGAAATAAAAACCTAGAAAAAAGAGTTTTTTATTAATAAAATTGTTAATTCTAAATAAGTTAAACGCGGTGTCTAATATAAAGTTAAATAGAAAAACAACTCTTAATACTATTAGGAACCTATAAAGAATTAGCTAGACTACTATAATACCTAGCTATTCTACTAGAAATACCTATATAAACCCTACTCTTCTACCTAAGTTTTTCTACCTAACTAGCAACCTAAAAAGGAAGATTAAAATAATTTTTATAGTATTAGCACTTTTTAGCAAGTTTTTTCTAAGTATACTAGCGCTTAGAAGCTTATTTATTCGATTTATAACCTTTTTTCTTTTACTACTTCTTATAGAAGCTTAGACCTATAGAAAAGGGAAGTAGTATTAGGCCTTAAACGGCCTTTTCCTTTATTTTATAAGTAATATTTACCTATAGTTATAAAATATTATATAGTTATATAATAATTAGAAGAGCGTACTAGCAGCTAGCGCTAAACGCGCTAGGAACCTACTTTTAGCGGCTGCGCTTTTAACCTTTTTTTTTTTTTTATATTACAACTTCTATAGTATAGTAATATAACCTTTTCTAATTACTATTTACCTATTAAGTTTTTACACCTTCCGGGTTAATAAGGTTATTAATTACGGCGCCGCTTTCTAACTTAACCTACTATCTAATATAAAAATATATAATATTTTCTATTTATTACTCTTCCGGCTTAATACTTCTAACCTAATTAAAGGCTAGAACCGGCCTAAACCTATACTACTACCCGAGCTAATATAATATAAGGGAAATAATAAGCCTATAAAAGAATAGATAGTTACGGAAATTATTAACTTATAACTTTAGGATAATAATATATAATATAAGGTCTGCTATATCGGCAGCTTATATCTATACTACTACTAGCAACTATTAGAAAATATTAAGGGCTGCCTTTATAGGGTTTTTAATTTCTACTACTATAATCTATAAAAGCCTAAACCGCCTGCCTATTTTATTAAACTAAAGAACTAAACTCTACCTATTACAGTATTAATTATAGCCTTCCTCTAAGTATTAATCCCCTAACACCTTATTACCGCATACGTGCACACGCGTGCGCCACGCGCCTGCCACCTAATTCCTAATTCTATTAGGGCCACGCGCTATATACGAGCCCCTTTTCTCGTCCTGTATATAGCCTGGCTCCCGTCCCGAATTCAATTCGGTATTTTAACGTCTTATAACCAACTATAGTAATAGCACGTAGTTATTCTTCTTTAAATCTAATACTTATCTATCTCGCGTTTAAATACCCGATATATTATTACCGTAACACTACCTACTTAACCGGACTACTAGAATATTACTATATTATTATATTAGCTATTTATTATATAAGTTTATATAGTAAGTTGCTTTTTATATCTAGGTTTTTATAAAAGCTTAGTTTTTAAAAAAGGGGGTATATATTACGCTATTTTTTTAGGTTTTTTTAGTAGCTATTAAGGTTACAGGATATTATATATATAGACGTTATATAATCCTAAGCTAAAAGTTTTTCCGGCGTTTTACGCGCTCTACTATATATATAGCTTATAGCTAAAGCCTTTTTCCTCTCTATATAACCTTATTAATAGCAATATAACCCTTTTTTTAGCTATACTTCTAATACTTAGTTTAGGGGCAGTTATAAATAAAATAGTTTTTTAAACTATAGTAAAAGTACTTACTATACTTCCTATAATTCCTTAATAGGTCTATAGGTTTTCTAGTAGGTTTATATAGTTTTAGAGCTATATAAAAAAAAAATAGTAGTTTATATATAGGGTTTTAAATAGGAATAGCTATATTTTAGCAACTTTTAGTAGTAATAGTATACAGTTTTAGCGCTATAGTAGTAGAAGTTTTATATTACTTATAGCAGTTATTTAGGTTTTAGAAAAACTTAGTAAATATATAGTACTTTTTATTAGAAGGTTTATAGTAGAGTAGTATCCCTTTTAATTTACGGTTAATAGCTTTTTCTAGAAGGGTTAGTAATACTTTTTTAAAAAGTTTTCCTTTTAGGGCTAAGCGCTAGAACTTAGTAAAAAAGGTACTAAATTCCTTATTATTTTAATAGAAATAGAAAAGTTTAGTTTAGAAATTATAGACCTAGTTAGGGTTTCTATATATATATTCTAAGAGGTTTAAAATAGCTTTATAGTTAGGTAGCTAGCAAACTTTTTTTATAGTATATAGTAGAACTTAAGTATATAGGCTTTTACTTAAATAGCTATTAATATATAATATTTAGCTCTAGGGTTTAAAGTAGCAGTTATAGTTAATAGTTATAACTAGAAAACTTCTAATTAGTCTACTAGAGTTAGGGTTTAGTAGTAGGGTCCGCAACTTTATTAGTCGCGGCCTAAGCCGTAATATATAGCCGCATTTAAAAAAAGTATTTAGAATTAGTAAGCAAATTAAGCAAGCGAATTAGAGGCTATAGAGCAGCCCTCTAAGCTAATTAAAAGGTGGTAAAGCAATAGGGGGGGGGAAGAGGTGTATATATAGTGAAAAGGGGGTGTACGTCTAGGAATTAGGGGGTGTACGATTAGTAGTCCCCCTTATAGAGTACGTTATTCCTTTTTCCTTTCCTTTTTCGTTTATAGATTCTCGCCTGTTATTTCAGCAGTTCAAATTCCTTTGGCATCTCACTTCCCTCGACCCAGGCCCTTACGCCTTGGGCGAACAGTTCTGGGAGTTGCAAGTCCCACAAGTGAACTGCGTCCCTCACCACGAATGCCTTGCACTCCAGATTCGTGTTCGCGAGCACCTTCCCTGTTTCCCTCGTCTGCTCAACGCTATCCTTCGTCCCGCCCGCCACGATAGCGATCCGCACGCCCCGGATCTCAGCAACGCTCTCCATGGTCACCTTAGTACACGCGCCGTACCCCGACCTCAGCAGCTCCATGGAATGGTTCCTTCGCATCTCCTCCCTGAGCCTCGGAAACGGTTCCACGCCGATATAAGACCAGAACATCCACTCGCTAGTGAGCTTCCCGGACAGGATCTCGATCCCGCCCATCAGGCGCGGGCGCGAGATGAACCATTTCCTGTACCCGCTCAACGGCGCGCACCCGGTGCAGAACAGGCTGAGCACCAGCTCCGGACACCGTCGCGCAAGCTCCAGCGCTACGAAACCGCCGAGCGACAGGCCGACGACGTGCGCCCTGCCGCCCGCTACTTTGGTCGAGACGAGATGGGAGAGCGCGTTGATGGCGTTGTCGAGGGTGAAGGGGAGGATGTCCCTCGACCGCGAGTGCCCTGGTAGATCGACGAGGATGAGATCGTAGTCCTTGGAGAGGAAAGGGGTGGTGCGAGAGAATTCTATGTGGCAGGTTGAAAGGCCATGGAGGAAGACAATGGGGGCATGGGGTGGGTCCTTGCCATTGGGGTCTGGCGAGGGGGATAGACGGGTGTAAGAGACTTCTAGGTTTGCCTCCTTGGGGCTGGATTCTTGGGAGGACATTGTGTTGTTCCTGGGGAGAAGTTGGTGAAATGGAGTATAATCAAGTCTGGGCTTGGGAGGAAGCTATGCACGTTAGTGCGATGAACGGCCTGATCGGAATTCGTATTATCCTAGGACACTATGACGCAATGGCGCATAAACCCAAGAAAGTCCTCTTAATCTTAGATAGCAATGCTGAGATGTGATTATAATGTGTTGTTAGCAATATCGTAATCTCCATATGTCGTGCAATGTCCAACGAAGACCAGATCTGCAGGTTACCCGGCGATGTTGGCCAATGTGTGGGTGGCAGCGCTACGTTCAATCAAATATCTGCAGGTCCAGGTTAATTGATGGAAAAATCCAGCAGGTCACAGGCTTCAAAACAAGCTATTATTTGTATATATTGAGTGCGTGGTGGTGGAGTTGTGAGGGTGCGAAGTTGAGGACACGTATTTCGCGTGGCAACGAATTGCTCGCCTATGCCTTGGGCTACGTACGCTACCGTACGAGGCAACCGAACGCGCTCTTAGTGGGGAGGTGAATAAAGGCGATGACATTGATATAGTTCTCAACAGATGGTTACGCAACCCCCCAATGCTTCAGCAGCCCACTTGCCGCCAGCTTCCCTAACTGTTCCAACGTGCCCATTCCCAACATCTCCAGAACGCTTATATCGAACCCGAACACCTGCTTCCACCACATGCGCATATCAATCGCCAGCAAGCTGTCAATACCCAGATCCGCAAGACCCAGACTGGTGTCCACGTCCTCATCATCTCCCTTAACTAGTAGTGCAAGCACCCTCTTGCCAATTTCACGCGAGAGCAATGTCGTCGCGTCGGATGTGCTGAGGATAGCAGGGTCAGCTTTGGCTTGCGCAACGAATGTCTTGAGTACCGTGTCGCTGGATGTTTTAGCCTCCGATGCAGAGTCGCTGGTATTAGAACCTAGATTGTGGTAGAAGGCCATGCGTGGGTCTGAGCGGAAGACGGCGCGGCTTTTGGGACTGCTGAGCGGAGTGGTGGTTTGCATGCCGAGCATGAAGGTATTGGGCGATACGAAGCCGTCGACGTCGCCTGGGCGAAGGGTCGGCTTGTCCATCGCAAGAGTTAAGGCGTCGATGACATCTTTCTCCTTGATAGTCCAGATGTCTTGTTCCCGGAAGCGGCGAAGAATATCCTGATTCTCGGCAACAACACCCACATCCTCCACAACACCGCAGTTGATCGTCGAGCCCGCAAGACCGAGTCCGGCGCGGTACTGGCAGAAGGCATCAAGGAAGGTATTTGCGCTGTTGTAGTTCGCTTGGCCCATGTTGCCCACGATACCGGACACGGAACTGAACATGACGAAGAAGTCGAGCTCGCTGCCAGCAGCGATACTGACGTCGTGCAGATTCCAGGTACCTTGCACTTTGCAGCCCGTCGCAGCGTCCCAGTCTTCCCACGTCATGTTGGCGAACACAGTATCGCGGAGCGCCATGGACATTTGCAATATGCCCTTCAGCGGCGAGTGACCACCATTGATAGCGCACACCACGTCGTCTTTATTGACGACGCTGCCCTGCACCAACTGCACGCGGCAGCCCATCGAATCCAGTTCGCGTACAAGATCCGCATCTTCAGCACGCTTGCCTGCACTTCGCGAGAGGAAGATGAGATTTCGAGCACCATGCGTGGCCATCCAGAGGGAGACGGAGCGGCCAAGGCCACCGAGACCTCCGACGATGAGATATGAAGCATCAGGGTCGAATGCAGGCTGGCGTCGTTGCTCCACCACCCCGGAGGTCAGATGAGTATGTCCATTAGGCTCGCGCAGCTCAAGAAGTACCCTACCTGAGTGAGCACCGTTCTGCATGTACTCAATGGCTTCCAACGCTCCGGTCGCAGGGAAAATCTTGGTTGGGCGTATTGGTCCAATGTGGCCCTCAGCATACAGCTTGAGCGTGCGTTTGAGAAGTCTTGAGGATCCTCATTAGCGATCGGATGCGATTGAATCATGTGTGTGCTTACCTTGCGACGATCTCCGGCCTATTTTTACGAACGTGCTCGATATCAACACGAGAGTAGCTCCTGTTACGGAGGAATACGCTGATATCCAGCTTTGCGTCTCCCAAGATGTCCTTTTTACCAATCTCGATTAATTTACCAAACTCAGCGACTGTGCGCCATGTTGCGTGGAGAAGCTCGCCCGATAGCGAGTTCAAGACGAGATCGACGCCTTTTCCATCCGTCTCACGCCTCAATGCATCGGCGAATGATGAATCTCTAGAGTCGAAGATCCGATTCCTTGGCAGATTGTATGACTCTACAAGATACGCAGCCTTCTCTTCGGACCCAACAGTTACAAAAATTTTGGCTCCGATTGTCTCGGCTACTTGAAGTGCGGCAAGTCCAACTCCGCCTGCCGCACTATGAATGAGAACAGTCTGTGGGGTTCAGTCATTATTGTTGACTACTCGATCGAGTTTCAAAGCTTACCTGTCCCTCTTCCAGACCGCCCACCTGAAGTAGAGCGTAGAGCGCAGTGGTGTATGCAAATGGCATAGTCGCTGCGTCATCCAAGCTGAATTTGTCGGGAATCTTGACAACATACGACTCGGAGTCTGTGGTTACCGAGGCAGCATTATTCCCACTAAGAGTCATTACGCGGTCTCCGACATGAATTTTCTTCACATTGGGTCCCACAGCTCGCACAACACCGGCTGCCTCAATGCCTAGGGCAGGTTCAACGGCGTCGATGATTCCTGTCGCGATAGACACATCCTGGAAGAGAGTATTGTCAGTGCATCCAAACTTCATCAGATTTCGCTCATCACATACCCGTCGGTTCAGTCCAGTATAATGAACTTCGATCTGGACCTCGTCGTCTTTTGGAACCTTGGCCTTCCGACGCTCCCAATGCAATCCACGAAGACGACTACCCTTCTCGACAGTCAAAACGACCGGACCGTCGGGGTTGCTCGATAGCAGCTCGTCAGGAATGGAGTGTGGGTAGTAACGCCCAATATGAACCTGCCCATCAGTGACAACGTATTCCAACTCTGGCTCGAAGATGTCCCCTGTTTGCCTATTAGTAAACTTGTCGAACACCTCCCAAACTTTGTCATCAGCGAATTCCAGATCAGTTTGACAAACAGCGAAGTCGATGCCCACTTCGTTACGAATAGTGCGTGCTAGACCGACGATCTGGCCGTAACGAGGATCCGTAACGTAGATTTGAGAGAGCTGCGTTAGCCAGAAAATCCCAGAGCCGTTGACGCTGGCAACAAAATTCTGCAGTTTCTCGTAATGCTTCTCGTTGAAACCTTCAAAGAAAGGTTTGCCAAGATCCAGGAGAGAGATAATATCCTGCCCAGCAGCTGGAACATCGCTGAGTGTAATATAGGAGACGTCGTATCCTCGCTCTCGCAGCTTCTGGTCTATATATAGAACCCGTGGAGTATCAGACCCTTCCCCAACAAGAAGTGAGATCCTTCTGGAAGGAGTATTCATGAGGATTTTTGGCCGCACAATTGCAATAGTGTTGAGCTGACTCTCAGACTTCGAAGACGCGCTTATACCGTCGACGTCGAAGCCTGTCGCTGCGAGCACTTGGATCCAGGTAGCGGAGTCAACACTGGCTTCGAAGGAGCCTCGAATATCCGCGTCTTTCGACCATTCGGGGAGGATTCCAAAGATTGCGGTAGCCCACTTAGCGGATGGCGATAGCTCTTGAAGGAGAAGGTAACCATTCGGATTGAGAAGCTTGTGCACATTTTGCAGACTATTGATCAGATTCGGCGTATGATGAACGATGTTGTTGGCGATGATCAAGTCATACTGCCCCTCCTCAAACAATTGGCCGTCCAGAGGTTGACCGATATCGAGGATGCCAAAGGCGGTATTAGCTAGGCCTTTGAATCGTTCCTTCAACGTGTCAACAGCGTGTGTCAAGGCGTCCGTCGCATGGTACTTGGAATAAGAGTTCGCAAGCTCGCTCAAAAACTTAGTAGTAGAGATGCCAGTGCCAGCTCCCAGCTCAAGAACACGCAGATTAGGCTTGCTATGCGACAGGCTTCGCAGGAACTCAGACGTTTCAAAGTCTTTGATGAGAGCTTCCGTTTCAATCAGCAGATCATCCTCATGAAGAAGATCGAGGGCATCAATGTCGCCAGAGAAAACTCGGGCCACGTTAGAGCTGACTTTGGCTAGGGCGTGCGCAGCGCTAGAGGCTGGGGTATTGGACAGATACTCGACCTGAGACTTGATTATGGCTGCCAACTCGCCATTTCCAACCTGTGCCCAAGTGAGCATGGAAGTCGGCTCAAATGATTGCACTTGCTCGCTGACCCACGCATGATACTTGGCTAGATGGGACGCCTCTGTACTAAGACCCTCAAGACTACGCTGAGAGAGTACCAAGCTAAGTCGAGTAAGCTCATCGAGTGCAGGGCCATATGATGAGTAGCCTGGCTTTGCCTTGACAAGCTCGTTGACGTCCTGAAAATTGATGTCAGGCCTCAAAATGTAACGAGCTGAAGCATGAGAATCCGTGTTCCCTCGATTGGGCTTCTCCTTCAAGCTAAACCCGGTCATGCTTAGGACAACCACGCCGTCAGCCACGTATTGACAGTCTCCGACGATCGAACCGTCCTCTGCATACGATGCGGAGGCAATAGCTTTAAGGTCCGCCGAAGAGCGGGTCACCTTTAGATCGGCAACACTCGTAGCCAAGTATACCCGGTAGTCGTTGCTGAGGCCCATCAAGGCGGTAGCGACCAGCAATTGAATTGAGAAGTCGACAATGGTAGGGTGCAGGTGGTAGTTTGCCTCATCGCCCAGTTTGTTGTTCCGCACAGTAGCTGTTCCGTAGCCCGGAAGACTGGTAGGCGACCTCAATTCCTCTAGGCCCTGGAAGTCGGGTCCGTATACCATACCAGATTGCGCTTGTGTTTCGTAGAGTTTCTTTGCGCTGCACTTGCGCGGCGGTTTGATGTTGAGATCCTTTTCACTGGCAACACCAAGATTCTCGGACCACGATCTGATTTCACCGGTGAAGTGTTTAGTCCAGCCATGACCATTGTAAGATGATACGTTATACTCCCACCAGTCAGAATCGAGCGAGTTGGTAAGTCGGACCTTTCGGAATGAAGTAATTACTTCGACGGGCGTGCTCTCTGGGGTTACGAGAGCGGTAGTTGCAGTTGCATTGCGCACTCGGAAGCCCTCCTCCACTCCAGTGATCTGCCGCACGGCCTCCGCACCAATGGCAATATAGCCGGCGAAGGGGAAGACGATGTCCTCTCCAACTGAATGATGGCGCAGCCACGGAGCATTGTCCAGGTGCAGCATGTTCTTGAAAGTGGGTTCGTGCGACGTGCTCTCCAAAGTCCTGACACCGAGAAGGTCATGGTAGGGGAATGGCTGTTGTCGCCATGCTTCGGTAACTCGAGTCTCGTGCCAGTATTTCTTGGAGTGATCCCAAGGATACCGGGGCAGATCGCTTAGAGTGACACCTTCGGGATACAAAGCCTTGAAGTCAATCGGGACATGAAGCGTATACAACTTGCCGACAGCAAACAGAAACGACTCTACAGAGTTTTCTCCGCGAATCATAGCGGAAATGTATGGCGCGGCGTTGTTTCCCGCTTCTGTCAAAATCTGGCGTAGCGGGCCAGCAAGAGCAGAGTGAGGCCCAATCTCAAGAAATACGGCATTTTTGCCCACACCGTGCTTTGCTATACTTTCCACGGCGTCCTTGAACAGCACCGGCGACTCTAGATTGGCGCGCCAGTATTTCGGCCCAAGTGTGAAGTCGTTCTCGGGTTTCAAGAGACCGCCGGTGACACTTGAGAAAAACGGCTTGTGTGGGGCATTGGGGACGAAGTCGTCACCCATCAGCCGCAGATACTCGTCGCCGACTTCCTTCATATGATAGGAGTGGTACGCTTTCTCGACCTTCAGCAGCCGGGCCAGGACATCGGGTCGCTCGCGCTGGATTGCCGCAACGACCTCTTCGACCTTCCCAGCATCGCCAGAGATTGTAACGCTCTTGGGGGAGTTCTCACAAGCGACTCCAACGTTGTCGACGAGGAAGGGGGCAACGTCAGCCCAGCCCAAGCCAATGGCCGCCATGGCCCCCTTGCGCTCCTGCTTGTTGGCAACAAGGCCTCTGAAGAAAGCCGCGGTGATGGCTTGCCGAGCAGTCAACGCACCAACGGCATATGCAGCCGCGATTTCGCCGCTTGAATGACCGACTACAGCAGAAGGGTGCACGCCGAGAGCTGCCAGGGCATCGACGAGAGCGACCTGGACCGCTGTGCAAAGAGGCTGCGCGAGCTCTGCGAGGTGGAGACGGCTGCTCTTAGCTGGCTTGCGCAGCTCCGCCTCGATGGTCCATGAGGGCGCGTCGGGCCCCAGGCTCTTCAGGTGCCGGTCCAGACACTCGATGCGCGCCTTGAAGACGGGATTCGCGCGAACCAGGTGGCGTCCCATCTGCGGCCACTGGGCCCCTTGGCCCGTAAAGACCATGACCACGCTCGGTGCCTGTGACGGCTTGACTGCGGGCGAGACATTGCCCGGCTTCTCTCTGCTTGCGACCACGAAGGCGCGGTGAGGGAGATGTTCGCGGCGGTTTGCCAGCGTATAGGCCAGATGCTCGATGCGTTCCGGGTACTTGCTCCGGTACTGTGCAAAGTTGTCGGCGATGCTCAGCAGCGCGTCGGGCGAGTTGGCCGAGTAGACGAGCAGCTGCGGATGATCGGAGGCGTCGCTGAGGGTGGGCGCCGCGTTGAAGCTGGCGGCCGAGTCGACGATGGCATGGCCGTTGGTGCCGCCGATGCCGAAGTTGTTGACCGAGACGCGCTCCTTCTTGCTCGCAGGCCACGGCGTCGGCTCCACGGGCACTGCGAACCGGGCCGTCTGCCACGGAATGCTCGGATTCGGCGACGAGAACTTGATGTTGGGCGGGATGGTGCGGTGCTCGAGGGCCAGGACGGCCTTGATCAGCGACGTCAGCCCGCTGGCGCCCTCGGTGTGGCCCAGGTTCGGCTTGATCGACGTGATGTGCATCCCGCAGCCGCCGAACACGCGCGCCGCCGCATTCGCCTCGATCTTGTCGCCGACGACGGTCCCCGTGCCGTGCAGCTCGAAGAAGCCCGTTTCGGCGTAGTCGCCGATGCCGGCCAGCTTGTACGCGTGCCGAACGAGCGCCTCTTGCGAGTCGATCCCGGGCGTGGTAAGGCCTGAAGGCGGATTAGCATCGTTGCAGGCGAGAGAAGAGAGGCGTACCCCTCACCCGGCGTCTTGCCGTCGTGGTTCGTCGCGACGGCCCGCAGCACGGCCCGCACCGGGTTGCCGTCGCGGAGCGCCGCGTGCAGCGGCTTGATGTAGATGGCGTTGATGGCCTCGCCGCGGGCATAGCCGTTGGCGTCTGCCGAGAAGGCCTTGGACGAGCCATCGGGAGAGAGCGCGCCGAATTCAGAGAGCAGGATGGTCGTCTTGGGCGTCAGAATCAGGCTGGTGCCCCCGACAAGAGCCGCATCGCAATCCCCCCTCGCTATGGCCAGGCATGCATCGCTCAGCGCCACAAACGAAGAAGAGCACGCTGTTTTGGAGATAGAACTACCAAGGTCAGCATGAAGCAGAACATCAGAAGCATCGCGTGGGGCCAGCAGTGGGGGTCCATTTACCTCGGCCCTCGCAGGTCCATCTCGTACGAAACTCGATTCGCAATAACAAAGTCATACTGGCCCATGACATTGTGCACTCCAGCAGGCTGCGGCTCCTTGTACAGCATGTCCGCCCAGTCGTCGCCATAGCTTCCCATATACACTCCCGTGTTGCTGCCTCTCCAGCCCGTAACGCCAGCATCCTCGATGGCCTCGCGAGCAACCTCGAGCATCTGTCGCTGTTGAGGATCGCATCGCTCAATCTCCGCCGCTGACATGTTGAAGAACGAGCCATCCAGGCCGGTTAGGTCGTCATCAATGAAGTAGGCATGCCGTGTGATAACGGTGCCAGGCTTCTTGGTAGGTGAGTAGAAGCTGTCAATGTTGTACCGATTAGAAGGAACCTCGACCTTCCCGTCACCTTTGTCGACGAGAAACTTCCAGAGATCTTCTGGCGATCGGATTCCACCACCTAAGCGACATGCCATTCCGCAGATGGCAATGGGAAGGAAGCCCTCTGTGGTGCCATTTGGCGTCGTGCTCAGTTCGGGGATCGAGTCCGACAACGACCCACTCCCGTTGAGACTTGGGGAGTAGCCTTCGTCTCCAATGGCGTGAGGACTCATGATGGCAAATGAGTTTCAAATGTAAAAAGGTTTCTCGAATGAAATGCTGAGCAGAGAGGAGGCTCACGGTGGGAGGCTAATTATCGAGAAGACGACACAACGGTGTATTTGCAACTCATGAGGACTTGGACAAGTCTTAAAAGAGTCATCTAGCTCCTCTGCGGCGGCTACTTCAATCCTCACCGTTGTCGAGCCCCGTTTAGGGCCGCCCCGTGTCGTCCAACAGAAGTGGCACCTTTTTCCACGAAAGAAGGCTCATTCCGTTGGATCCCGCGCTCTGAGGTTCCAGACCTATCATCCAATCCATATCGAGAAGGTTGTATTGAAAGTTCTCTCATTTCTCCAACACTTCGTATCTCAATACGCAATCATAGCAGAGCGCTTGTGCTCCGGTCAGCGTGGTATAGCCGGTCATCGTGGTATCGCCCGGAGCGCGCGTTGTGGAGTCTAGTCCCCACCTTTTGATGCAAAATTCGATATATTGTACGCCATTATGGTCTCATCACACATTTACCAGTATCAAATGCATAGCCCAGGATTGAGGCTGGAAATGGAAGGTGTGACGCCGGGTTAATATGCAAGGCCGCCGAGGTATGGGGTCTGAAAACGATCATCAACCGCTGGTGAACGGATTGGGGAAATGGATCCAGCGTTGTACATGAGGTAGGCCATTGGAATGCGGTAAGACGCATACGCAGACCTCTTAGCCTGAAGGTGGGGTTTTGGGGGCGATACTGCGACAGTAGACGGGATCAAGCATTTGAAGATATCTAACTTTTGCTCGAGGTTTCTTCGCACTAGTTTTTCACGCAAGTCGACTTTTGCATTTATCAAAATCTCCATAACATTTTCCCTGTTCATATAACGCAATTTTTACTACAGTTGCAATTCTCAATCATGACGACTGCTACCCTGCTCGCCCAATGGTTCCCCATCCACAAGCCTAAAGGGCCAACATTCAAAAACACAACCACACGCTTTGACCGCAATCTCGAAGAGACTCTCGACGTCCGGCGCTCTGATAAAGCCGTCTTCACGATGCACAGAAATGAGCCCCATCCAGAGTCTCTCGATTTCAGCACACTCGACTTTCTACATCTAAGCAAGTCGGGTCTCATTCGAACAGCGTTCCTCCAGGAACTCGCCGCGAATCCAGATTTTGAGCTTAGTGCCGGCGGCTCAAGGCTTTTGAATGGAAACAATCCATACACTGAGGCTGCAGAGAGACAAATTGCGGAGTTCCACAATGGAGAGACGGCACTGCTGTTCCATTCTGGCTTCGAAGCAAATGTGGCCATAATGGGATCTGTTCCAAGGCCTGGAGACGCGATACTGTACGACGAGTACATTCATGCTAGTACGCACGAAGGCATGCAAATCAGCAAAGCGATTTACAAGAAGAGCTTCAAGCACAATGACGTAGAAAGCTTCCGCGAGAAGCTCCTTGAGATTAAAGAGACCGAGAAAATCATTCGAGACGGGAAGCGGTCCGTCATTGTTGCGCTGGAATCCATGTACAGCATGGATGGCGACGTGAGTCCACTCAAGGAGCTAATCCAAGTCGGTCAAGAAGTGTTCCCCGATGGCAATTGCCAGTTCCTTGTGGATGAGGCGCATACGACGGGTGTTTATGGCAATCAAGGTCGCGGATATGTGAATCAATTAGGGCTGGAAAAGGACGTCGCCATTCGTATGCACACGTATGGCAAGGCGCTGGCCTGTACTGGAGGCGAGTCAATATGTTCGGGTAAACTTTGTTTGAGGTGTGCTGATTCAAAATGATAGCTGCCGTCGTCTGCTCCAACACTGTTCGTGAAACGCTCGTGAACAACGCGCGTTGTTTCATTTACAGCACTGCCCCCTCGTTCCCAATGATTGCTGCAATCCGCGGGGGGTACAAGTTGATGCAGTCCGGTGAAACACAGGCTGTGAGTTTACCAACGCTACATCAATGCTGGTAGCTGACCGTTGTTGTAGCTGCAAGACAAGATACAACACGTCGTAAAGCACTTCGCTCAGACCATCGAGTCGAACGACACGTACGAAGAAGCTGTTGATGAGGGCATTCTCTCAATTCCTAACATCGAGGGGTGGGAATCCAAGCCTTTCGTCACCCACGTCGTGCCCGTGAGTCCATACCCCCTTCCAAGTCATATTGCAGACACGATGCTGATGCCTCTCCAGGTCATGACCCGGCAACGCTACACACTATTCCTGTGCTATCATCTCCAACTGGCAGGCATCAACTGCTTCCCGATCGACTACCCCGTCGTTCCCAAAGGATTCAGCCGCATCAGGATCGTGTTCCATGCTGGTAACACAGACGAAGAAGTAGAGGCGTTAGCAAATAGCATCTGCGAATGGGCGCAGGAGATGCTCGACCTAGAAGCGAGTGGGAAGGGGGCCAAGGTGCCACGCGCTGCACGCCAGGTCCATGCGGCCCAAGAAGCTGCCATTGAGGCACGTTAACGGGTTTGGAAAGGCGTGATTGGGCTAGATGGTGGCGTCACTATATGGTCGTTGTCTGGGAGGTGGGTACATAGTTGCATAGAAAGTAGATCCCATCAATCGCATTCGTCCACAAGATCCAAGGATCCAACATGTGTGGTAGGGACTGGCCTAGAATTGAGCCCGAAAGAAAGCGAACTGATGATGAGGGGTGGCAACCCTGCGGGTCAGGTGCCTGCTAGTATTAGATCCTAGTAAACACCACGAATACATAGTCTTTTCAGCACTTCTGATAGTCTGACGCTCAGGCTCGCCATCACAAAAAGTGAGATTTTGGAGCGCCGTGCGCCCCGCTAAGCGGAGTCTCACTTTTTGTGATGGTGGGCCTGACGTTGGAGAGAAGCTTACCGAGATTGCGAGGTTTGCAGCCTAAGTTGCGTGGAGCCCTCGCCTCCGTGGCTGCACATGTCCGGAGCTCAGCCACTGGACGGGAGGATGGGAACGGCTTAATACTAATACCCTAGCTCTATAACTCTCTTCTACCTGCTACTTATCTACCTATTTCGGCGGGCACGGCAGACGCGTTGGCGGCGGATAGTGCCCGTCCCAAACCAAAAGGCCACTCGACATCGTTGCCGCCACAGCTCGCAACGGGCCGAGCCTTCCAAGGTTAACCCTCATCCTCCTCCTGATTTGGTGCTATCATGCGAAATGCTAGACTGGATACAACCTTGGGCTTAGGATATCCCTGCGAGGCTTGCTTAGATGTTCCCCACAAGCCACTGCCGCTCTTGGCCGACGATATCACCCCAAACCTCGGCTAGGAAGAAGGAAGAGGCGATCTGCAACCTCACACCCTTCTAGAGAATCTTACGTTGGGGGGCTGCCTGACGGTATATTTCGATGTTTCTGGAAGTCAGCGACGCAAAAGCAGGCTGCCCATGAAACTTCAACTTCAAGGCGAGCCGGTCTGATGCGAACCCTTGCCAAACGCACCGCAAACTCTGTGGACTCTTGATGACAACGGCCCACAATTTCCAGATCGAGATTCTCTCCTGTCGCGCTTGTTAAGGCGTGCCGCCACGTCAATTTCTTCCTACCCAACATTTATTTTCGTATCTATGGTGCCATCGGTTCCTGACCATGACGGGATCTTCGCAATGCCTCATTCGAGGGAAATCATAGAAGGCGTCACGTACGCAGGACTTGGAGCAACAAATCCAAAATCCAACTTCCGGATCTGGGGTCTATGCACCGTTAGGTTAAGGATAGAACGCCAATCGTGATGAACTGCATGAGAAACCAGATGCCAATATTCATCTAGCTGCGCACAGATTTGTGGACCTACCTCCTACGGCATAGATTTGTGGATCTGCCGTATTCCAGGGTTATTGCTTGCGACGCGAATACTACCTTGATTCCACCACACTGGTGACATCCCGAAGTTCTCACCTAATCCGCGTTGATGTGCTTCATGCTCTTACAAGTTACCGCTTTACTTCGGCATTTGTCAGCAACGCACAATTATCACGACAAACATTTGTTACTTCTGTTTGACTCGCGTCCCTGAAGCAGGAGAAAAGCTTCCTGAATTGTTTCTTCATCCTGAGTTGTTTCTTCCTTCAATTACTTCCTTTTACATCGACTTCGAAACATGGTGTCTGCGACGAGAAACTCCGGCGACATTGAAAAACCTGGCAATGTACCAACATCCTTCGGTGCAGAGGAAAAACCCGTGTCCAACTGGAAGAAGCCTTACCAGTTCTACCTGGCCTCTTTGTCGCTATGGCTCGCCGTTCTAATCGTCTCACTTGACTCGACAGGATTGGCTGTCGCAATTCCGGTACGTTGTTTTTGTTACACAAGCATGTGATTTCTAATGTCTTCTTCTCCAGGTCATGACGACGCAGCTCGGTGGAACGACCCTCGAAGCCTTCTGGGCCAGCATCTCCTTCATGCTTGCTGTGACCGTAGTCCAGCCCATTTACGTGACGACGTCAGATGTCCTCGGCCGGCGCATTCCGCTCTTTGTAGCACTGGGGTTTTTCTTCGTCGGGGCCATTGTTTTTGCTGTAGCAGAAAACATGGCTACTGTGATCGCCGGGAGAGTGCTTCAAGGGTTTGGCGGCGGTGGCCTTGACGTGTTGAGTGAAGTCATTGTTACGGACATGACCACGATGAAAGAGCGCCCACTTTGGATAGGATTACTTTCTTTCCCAATGGCGGTTGGAAGTATTCTCGGGCCCATCATCGGTGCCCTCTTCAGTGAGTATGCCACATGGCGCTGGCTGGGGTGGTACAATCTCCCCATCATAGGTATCACTGCTCCGTTGGCATTCTTCTTCATGCAATTGAAGCCACTCGAGGACTCGCTTGCGTCAAAACTTCGACGATTGGATTGGTTGGGTATGTTGCTTTTCGCCATTGGTGCCATCCTCTTCTCGGTACCATTGAGTTGGGCGGGTGCCATGTACCCGTGGGGGTCGTGGCAGACACTCGTGCCATTCATCATCGGGATCTTGTTCCTAATCGGCTTCGCTATCTACGAGAAATGGCCTACGGAGCCCGTCTTCCCTCATCGCATTTTCGGAAATATCACGGCACAGACCACCCTCGTCGGCGCCTTTATCCACGGCGCCATACTGTACGCGTTACTACTCTACCTTCCACTGTATTTCCAAGCAGTCTTCGTCGAAACACCTCTTCAAGCTGCCGTTCACATTCTACCACTTTGCGTCTTTGTGGTCGTGCTGAGCGGCGCCGCGGCCTTTGCAGTTGAAGCCTCACGAATGTACCGCTGGGAAATCTGGGTGGGTTGGATCTTGCTCGCCGTGGGTATAGGTCTCATGTCACTCTGGGACCGAAATACGTCAACCGCAGAAACCGCTGGCTTCCAGGTTCTTGCTGGCACCGGCTTAGGTATACTATTCACAGTGCCGACAATCGCCATGCAAGCAAGTGCTCCAACGGTCGATGACCAAGGCCTTGCGATTGGTGTACTTGTGTCTTTCCGCCTTTTTGGAGGCCTTGTTGGTCTTGCTGTCGGTGCAACGGCTTTCACTAGTACTTTTGAGAGCGCAATAGCATCGCTTGGGAGCCTACCCGAATCCGTGGCCATTCTGAAAGAGTCTGCAAGTGCAGTAGCATTCATCCCCCGTCTCAGAGAAGTCACGTTGCCGCAGGGCCTAATGGACGCGATCATTAATGCTTACGGTGACTCGTTGCGGAATATCTGGTATGTCCTAGCCGCCTTCGCCGCTATTGCCGGTATCGCATCAGTCTTCTTGAAGGAGCTTTCTCTTGAGAGCGAAGAGGTTGGCAGGCAGAATTGGGAAGTAAAGGAGGAAACGAGCTAAGGCAGAGATAATGACTAAGCTATCAGCTATATATATATAGAGCTAGTTAAACTATACAGTGCCTTGTCAAAAGTGTATGCATACTTGCCTGCCATCGTAGGAGGTGCTTCGTCGCATCTGAAAGTCTGATAAGATGTAAAGTCCCTGAGAACTTGAATCGGGAAGATTTCACAGGCTGAAAGTTGGCCTACTTGCCGGAGTTTGTGGTGCTTCAGCACCTCGTCATTAGTCGGGGCGAGATGAGAAAACGGCGTGTCCAGCCTTTCATCTTGGTACTGTATACCTTCGGCTTGCTTATTATCCACCAGAGCCTATCTAGGCAATCCTCCCCATCCTCTTCTTTCCGATCCGAACCGTTTAGCCTCACGGCTAGCTGTATTCCTCATCGGTCTCCCTTTAACCACATCGAGGAACAATCTCATCCTGAGAACTACGACCCTACTAAGAAGACGAAGACAGTGCGCTCAATCAAGCTCCTCTGCCTCTTATCAACCATTTCAGGGCGAAGCCAGAAGAACATTCCCTCCCGCGCACCACATCGGCACACGCTTTGAGGAGATTGTAGGTTTCGACGGGTCTAGAGCCTTTGTTAGCATGTGCTGGGAAAACTCACGGGTGGGTATGGGTTATCTTACACGGCCTTCCGAGTTCCGGTCGTCCACAGCCTTCAACCGCCACCTCCCTACTACCTCCTCAAACCTCTCTGGTTGTTCGCATCTGTCCCTTCCCTTCCTCCGCATTCATTTATTTCAAGTCAGAGGGTCCATTTCTGCGGAATAATGGCGTTCGAAACATTAAATGAGGACCACATCACTTGTTTCCTTCTCCCCCTCCTTGAAATCTTCGCCATGCATTAGCCCATGGACCAAGGCGGCTCCAACCACATTCATGGCGCCGCTTCCCGATTGTCTTCGCAGAGTCATCGGCACAGGTACACCGACTAAGAGGTAGACTTGGTCTCCCTGCTCCATTTCGAGTGGGCCGGAGCCCACCAATCCTGAAGAGAGTGAAAAGAGGCATCTTCTGTCCTTCGAGATCCTGTTGTGCAGTCGGACCAAGTAGCGGTAGGCTGATTGATTTGCTTTGATTTCGTTCAGGATATCCTCGGAAACCAATTGCGCATCCGTGAATACCGGCGATCTTCCCATCGACGGGACGTATGTCTGAAGTATCTCGTACAATGAGGCCCAATTATCAAAAGCCGTCTTCCGCGACCGGAAGTCGTACGGTCCTTGCACAGTTGGGAAATTCTCCCATCTACTCGGCCTCGGGGAAGTGTCGCGTCCTCCCGGACTACCTTTGATCATTCTCCCGGTAGGTCCTCGTTGCGGGCTAAGCTTATCCAGAATGGCAAACAACGAGCTAAGAGGAACATCATTGGGCTTCTTGGCTGGTACATGGACTTTGATTTCCGCCATCAACAGCAACATGCGATATAGTACTGCTCTCAAGCACTCATCGCTCCCATCGCAAGTCGTAGGATGAATAATGATTTTCCAGGTGACAGTCCCTCTCCATATCCCTTGAAGATGAAGCTGAGCGCCTGAGATGCCAAAAGATGGTTCTGTCTGGCGCGGTGTACAAGTCTCACTTACTCCAAGCCGATGTTGGGACGTCAACCATGCACTTGGTACTGAGGTTTGCCAATTTGGGACCCAAGTCGGTCCATCGAAGCTCATTCGACCCCTCGAGCTTGCATCCATAATGATGGCGATGGCAGCAGGCTTCCAGGAAACAAGATCCTGCACAAAGTTTTGATAGACTTCCCCGACGGAAAGGGAGTAGTCTGGCACCGACGGACATGCTCCATGAGCTTTGAGAATCCCGTACAAGGCGTAAGACTTGTCTCGCGGGTCTGAACTTTTCCTTTCTCTTAAGGCTGCCCGAACAGCATCTAGCACTCTGTATTCTTCAGAATTCATGCGATCGTGGTGTAGCCATTCTTGCTTCCACCCATGCATGAGGAAATGCCATCGTTGACGCAACCCATGAGCTATCGCGCCGACAATCCAGGTAGCTATTAGCCAGCCGAAAACTATTAGAAACCATGGCAGGGCGCGACTAGCTATGTAATCCTGATCTTTAGCGGGGTATTTTCGCGAAAGAGTCTTCTTTGCGCTGAGCATCATTTTGTATGAGGTGAAGCCCCAGACACCCCAGATAATAACTTGAAGTAGTGCATTCGCGATGGAATAGAGCAAACGCACCCCCGGGGGTAGCTCGGCCTCTTCCCACAGCGTAAGCAAACTCTTTCTGAAAGATGTCTGTTCTGGTGACCCGCAATCTTTCCAACTGCCTTGGATGTGCCGAGGGCGAGGTAGGTTGAACCACAGATCGATGATGGAGCGCCAATGATTTAGAATGACATCGGAGAGAGGAAGTGAATCGGCGATATGAAGCCCGGAGCCTCTAGATGTGCTACTAAGAGCGCTAGCAAGCTCGTCCCAAGAGATTGCCTTGTCGCCGCAAATTGTGATAACATTCGTAGCCAAAGCGAATTCTTGGAACGTCCAGGTTCGGTGAATCCATTCGCGGTCGAGGAGCTTATCCAAGCTGATACCATCCCCACTCGTCCGGGACCATGGCATTCGGGCTGTAGTTCAAGGTCATATCAGCGGAGATCTATTATGGTTCGGACAGTTCCAGTGTGATGCTTACATATTATGTCGCTCCAAGCAGCTTTTTTGAACTTGCGGTATTCACGCTCTTTGCTTTCCGAATCACTCGAAGCCAGAAGCGTCAGTGGCAGCCGTCTTCCCAGAGTAGCTCGCCTCCTCAGGTATTCCATGGCCTTGTCGGAATCCTCATTGCCTTGCCCAAGCCATACATACACGGAGCTGGCCAAACTGTATATCTCTTGCATGAGCGATATTTGACCCCCCTTTTCCTGCTCATCGTCTTGATTGATGCAGATCGAGTCAACCCATATGGACACGCCTCCAAAGAGCTTCCGAATATGCCATAGGGCCTGGTAGCAATTCTCCGTGACCTCGATGCTGCACTCTTGTGATGGAAACGCGACAGCGTGACTCGGTGAAGATTTCACGCCCCAGACATATGACAATGATACGAACGACGGGGACTGTCGCAAGTCCACTACGCGAAGATGGCCGATGATTTTGAGAGGATTTGGCCCCCCGCCGGACGGTGGCGAAGGGTCTATGTCTAGCAACCGAGTGCAGTGAGAGCCGAGTCGTATTGGAAGGCTATTATAAAGCTGCTTTGTCGAGATCGGGTAAGAGTCGGGCTTTTCTGTCGACGGGAATGACTCTAGCTCAACGACTGCGTCGCCCGCCATGTGTGTGTGTGGTAACTCCGTCAAAGCTGCAAAGCATCGGAGTCGAGTGGATACTCCAACCTTTGACAACTGGCCTCGCTCCAGGATAAATGCAAGTTGCCTTGCAGCGAGGTTGTCAAGCAGGCTGTCGTGCTGCGCCCCATACGAATAAGGAGTGGTTGGCCTGTTGCGGTTAGAGTGAGGCTGTGCCATTATCGAGTCAGCCGTGTGGCGCCTGCATGATCTTTCCCGAGGTCCAACCTTGGTTGTGCATACTTCGTACCTGGAAGCTTTAGGGATGTTTCCCCCTAGGGTTGGGTCCGGTGAAGCCATGCTGCAGGCAGCACTGAGCAGAGGTACGCGATAATACAGCCTCTCTAATATCAAGCCACAGACTTACCGTATAAGGGAGCAACTCCGGGTGCCTTTAGGGGGGAATAGCAACGTTCCAGCCAATCAATGCTCAAGCCGGTGAAGTACTAGCCCAGAAGAGAGGCATACCCGGATTAACTCAGTTTAGCGCTGGACCACGGGGCGTAAAGAGAGGCTGAACACGTCTAGACCCCGCTCATTTCGCCTTGCGTTGTATCTTTCCAATTGATTTTAGAGCAGGTAGCGAGTGAGAATGCAGGATTTGATACATGATTGAAATAGCGTAGAGCCAGAATCCGCTTTCAGCCCTCCTACACAGAGTGGTCAATAATCCGTCCAGACGACGGATTACGTTCATTAATTTTGCCCTTGCAACCAAATCCAATCCAATTCAAGACTTTGTCGTCTTCCAATCCAAAGCATAAAAGGCGGGATTGTTAGGCGAATTACTGCTCCGACATTGTCCTCGATCTACCCCTAAAGCTTATCCCATTTTTCCTAGCATACGGGTAAAGGTGCCGTTACTCATCATCAAGACTCGTAAGTAGGCTCGCAGACGGAGCGAAGAAGACTGTCCCTGTTACAGCTGTAGAGAAGTCGAGAATACGATCGTGCAGTCCCGGCGGCTCCCCGATGAACATGCGTTCCAACATTTTCTCGATAACCCAGAGGCGGCGTGAGTATCCAATGAAGTACGTTCCAAACTCACCCGCCCCGGGGGCCCCAAATGGCATGTTGTCACGTAGGATGCTATACTCGTCACCGTTTTCATCTTCGATTGTCGCAAGCGTCTTGTGCGCTGCCTGCTGGCCCTCAGCGACGTCGTCTAACTCCACATTGTCCAGCTTGGTGCGGCCGATAATGGCCTCTTGCTTCTCCGTGGAGAGAGTGCGCCATGCTTTGAGGTCATGTAAGTACTTCTGGATGACAATGTAACTGCCACCGATGGCTGGCGCATCCTCCTCCGCGACGAGGACCGATGGAGGCACAGCAGGCCCGACTGGATTGGCGGTTCCATCTACAAACCCGAGGAGGTCTCGAAGGTCGAAGTACCGAAAGCCTATCGTTTCGTCGACTACGGAAACAGAATCGCCCAGGAGATCCATCAACTGCCGCTCAAACTCAAAGCACAGGTCGCGTCGCTCCGCGCGGATGTGGAAGAGTAAGTCCCCCAGAGTTGACACAGCGGTATGAACATTGCCCTTGACCTCGCGAAACGGATGAAGCTCTGCTGGGCGTGGTAGACCCGTGACGCTATCCCAAACATCACTGCCAATACCGACGGTGCACGCGAAGGAGGCCCCAAGGTCGCGAATAGCAACATTCTTGGAGATATCGCTGATCTTTGCTAGCGTCGAGCGAACTTTTTTGATTGCACTAGGGCCATCAGTGATGGAGAGGACCAGAAAGGTGGCCGACGCGGTCAAGGGCGCGTCGACACTCTGTACTGTAGTGGATGCGCTGCGGGTCATATTGGGCAACGATATCAGCCCGGCGGTATGCGTTTGGTACGCCTTGCGTTGAAGAAGAGCCTGATGATGAAATCGACGTGCTGGAAGATGCCGCTTGCCTAGCGAAGTTCCTCGCACCTCTCGAAGGATACGTGATTGCGCAGCTGGTAGTCCTCGGTTTGTGATATCGAGTTGGGCGTTTGGATGCGTTCGGATCTTATAGATGAAAGACGCAAGCTTGTGTTTGTTCATGTCACGACTGACACTCGCGGCTTGATGCGGCAATTCGAGATTGAGGGCTGGGACTAGGGGGTGCCGAAGTTTTATATTCTACGGAATAAAAGCGGATATGGCGTGACCGAGCTGCAGGTGTGACTATGCACGATTACATAGAGTGCAACAGCTTCTTGAGAAAGTAGATTGTTAGTCACGATTATGAAAGAAGTCCAGATCCCGATCACCAAACTTTTGGGCTTCCTTTGATGATTCAGCCAGAATGTGGGGTTCGCTTTCAAGGGTGGTCTCCCGAGACTTCTCCGCCTCTTCCTCGTTTTCACTCTCATCAATTTCATCTTCGTTCAGAAACATTCTGCTCATTTTCAAGCTCTCCCGTATGATCCTCTTGACGAAGAAGACATCACGGAAACACATCCCCAGGTTGCGCTGCATCAACGCCGTCTTAAGCCCTAGAGTGGTATTCTAGCGCGACTATTGCGAACGAAGGCCTTCGCGGGAACGACTATTCGAGCTAGCGAATCTCGAAAATAGATAAGATCAGGCCCGAGACCTCGCGGATGATTATCTAGAGCATGAGTTCCACAGTCTGGTGGAAAGTGGGATGAGACTGCCTTTCGTCTCGGAGGAAGAAATCTTAGACAAGGTTAAGGCTTCATGGGCATTCAAAGTCCTGAAACGTTTTCAAATCTTGTGGTTCGTCGCACAAACCACCCGCCGACCCATCCAGAGTCTTCTTGTCATTCGCTCGGAACGCTTCACCCTGGCTATTGTCATTTCACAACAGTTTCATACCTTCCAGGCTTCTATGGTGGATGAAACCTCTAGGCATTGACAGGCCTAAAAGCATAAAGTTCGACGGTAATGTGAGACAGATAGTTGAAAAGTTCAATTTTTTCGATGGTCAGGGTATCAACCTGCAACCTTCAGCTTTACTCTACGTTCCACTTGGACCGCGTAGGCTTCATGGTCCCATGCCTCCGGCCTTTGCAGCTTGCCTTCTCTCAGTGTGGAACTGGGCTTTCCCTTCGGTGGCGTAGAATTGGTTGCGGAAACTTGCATTCATGGGACGTGCGTTATTCCCCGCTTTCTACGGCCTCATATAGTCACTGCATGTGTATTTGGACGATATACAAGGAGTTGAGCCTCGAGAGTCGCAGAAACTAGTAGGATACGTCGCCAGGGATGCTCAGCATCTGTTCAGTCACGCGTAAGCTTGATTTGTTCATGACCCGTTCTATTTCCTATGTCAACTCTACCTGCTTGTAGAAATTTTTGCAAGCTTCAGGTCGATGCCACCTAATGCTTATGTTAGCTTGCGGTGGACGGAGTATCTACCGCATCTTTGAGGCCTTTATATCATACAATTTGGACAGTTACAGCGACTTCTTTACCCTTCACCAATCTATCAATAGCACCAAGAGAAGAGCTGAAACTTGATATACCATGCCAGAAACTCATGCTTTTCCATTAGCTCGGCTGCCTTGCAGAAGTTGGACAGCCCAGACTTTGCCAAGGTAGCCACATCCTTGGACTTACCATTCGTCCAGTCATACTCTCGGATATGATCTTGGCTGTAAAAGCTGAAGTATTGTGTTGCAGGAGCTGGAACCCGAGCTGAAAGATGGGGTCAATGTCATAAGAGCGAAGAGACTCCGCATCCAGAGCATTAGCAATACTCCTCCTCCGCCACGATGCCGACCAACACCATCATCGACTATTTCTTCAACGATCGCCGCGTCGCCAACCCTGATGGCACATTTGCAAGTCTTCTTCCGGGTCGCGCCCAGCTTGTCCCTGGTCCTGGTTCTTTCGAGGAGCAAATTCTCCCTCAGGCAGTCATTCTCGGTCCCGATGCGCCACTTGTAGTAGACACCAGCTCTTACTACATCGCCGGCACGGCCCAATTCCATGCTCGAGTCGTGTTCAAATACATGGCCGGCCCCCCGAACCCCCTCATACCCGGACCGATGTTCAAGCAATACCTCCTTCACAACGACGCTATCCCGTTCTCTCTCTACCTCACTGAAGGGGTCCCAAGACTAGCTGCTGCCGTGAGAGAGGCAGTCGTAGGATCTCAAGCCACCGAAATTTTCGACACTCCCGAAATTGTGTCGGGGAAATGGTACTCAGCTGATCTGGTCTGGGACAAAGACACGTTAGTTACATTTCTCGGCGGGATTCCCATAAGCTGCCATGGCTTCGGTCGCAATCCACGCGTAGGCATTGAAAACCCCCAGACGATCCAAATTGGGGGCTTGAAGCAGCCCTTCGTTCCCACGAACTTCAACGGTGCGATCGCTGCCGTGAAAGTCGAACTAGGGGTCCCGGACACGCTCAAGGTCGAGGTCGACAAGCAGCGCAACTTGCCACGGTGGTTCATTACGACGAAGCTTGAGACTACGCGTCCGCTGTTCAATCTTGGATACCCTCTGGGTCCTGCTATCAACACGGACTCAACTTGGACCCAACAGTATCGCCAAGGGGCAATCTCTTTTCATTACAGCTTGAGAGAGGCGGCGTTTGAAATGCATGGGGACCTCTGGGACGCATACAAAAGCCTACCCGAGCACATTAAGTTTGGACTAGGCTACCAGGACTCAGACGAAAATGCTTGGACAGAAGCCAATAACCGTGTTGACCGCAGCATCCAGTTCTCAAACGGCACCCTGCAATGGTCCCAAGCCACAGGCAGCCATGCCATCCTCGGTCAGATATGGAAAGACTGGTCCGGCGACGGCCTCGTGGTCAAATGGGGGTTTCCTCTAGAGAATCAGAAATCGGAAGATGGGTTCATTGCACAGGGTGGCGTCTCGCAGCGCTTCCAGCTTGGGACGTGGTACCTGAGGCGAGATCCTCTCCACGCCGTTGGAGTGTATGGGGCGATTGATGACGCGTTGCGTGCCGCTGGAGGTGTTTCGAAACTAGGCTACCCTTTACGCAGCGAAGAAAAGGTCCCTGGAGTGAAGATCAACTTGTTCGGAGTGGAAGGGGTGGAGATGGATGTCCGGAAGCAGGATTTCGAGACTGGCGCGGCCGTCTTTTGGAGCTTCATCACAGGGGGCCATGTCGTCTTCCGCGACTTCAAGGATAAGTATGTTGCCGTCGGAGGTCCGGCTGGGGTCCTTGGCCTTCCTACTACCGAGCAGGTCAACCTTCCACTCGACACTGATGTTCACGAGCCGAAACCGCGATGGGGCCAGGGCTTCCAGCGTGGTATCATCGTCTGGAATCCGTATACAAACCAAGTTGAAGTGTTCCGCCAGTTCCAGCTTCGTCTGATCAGTATATCAGCGAGGCCTGACGGAGAGAAAAAGGATATGTACATCAGCATCCAGATTGAGCGCGACGGATCCAATGTCTTCAATGGACGCTATCCGCCGCTACCCCCGGGTAACAATGCTGAAGCGTACTGGGGCGATCAGGACTTCGTCGCGCCAAGGATTCTTCTTCCGCCAATGCTGAGGATTGACATGTCTGCGAAGTATCTCCTCAGAGTCTTGGTCATGGACGATGACGACAGCGTCTGGCCACTCCCGAATCACGACGATGAGGTCGGAAAGGGGTCGGAAGTTCTGAGTAGGTGCTTTTCAATCCTGATGGACAAAAACTTGGCACTGACTAACTTTTTTCTCACGATCAGATTTGCGAAATGGATTCAAACAGAGTCAGGACGGTGTTCAAATCCCCTTTTCAATCGCCTTGTTCAAGGGTACAGCTTTTGGGACTACAGAAGGAGAGGTGACCTTCGGCGTTGAACTTGTCTGAGTATCGCAGTACACGGCTTGTAGCCGAGAAGGTCCCATTCGAGGGTGATATGGGGTGGTTTCGGACTCGGTTCGTGGCTAAAGCTCTGTCAATTTAAGCACATAAGTGCTCGCTCTCATTTTGCATCATGGAGACACTCCAATCAAGCTTGCGTCGGAGTCTGAGGGCAGATGTTTATGTAAGTGGCCCAAAATCAGCCACTTCTTCACAAGATCCTATGAGATTGTTTTTCCTACGCATACCTCATTCCAGGCACCGGCTCCCCCACCTCTGCACTACTCAACGAGCAATGTCCTACGTCCTTAAACCTCCCCACCTCCCCCCACATCACCTTCTTCAAATGCACATCCACATCGTCCGCCGGCGGATGGCATGCCGCACTGACAACCAAGCTGTTCCCTGCCGCGAACGGCACCCGCTGCCTCAGGGGCCTCGTAACCACCCACCCTGTCACCAGAATTGGCACAAAGCCCACCAGCACCAGCGCGAGCAGACTCGATAAGCTGTACCCGCACGCGGAGAAAGACTCCAGATCCAGCAGCTGCCCGTCGCGGTCGCGGACGTCCGCGCGCACGAGGAAGAGCGTCTCGGACATGAGCCAGTGGAGGACCCCGCTCGTTGCGGCAATGGGCAGGCCCCAGTGGTAGGGCAGTTGGAGGAAGTGCGTACTGCGTTGGTCGCCTTCTTCTTTGGTGACGCGGAGGCCTCTTCTTTTAATCCCGAGTGCGTTCCATTCGTAGGCCATGGCGACGCAGGTGTACAGCCCGTTGAAGGTGATGTAGTAGATGCTGAGGTAGAGCTGTGGGAGGTTGGCGAGGGAGGCATTGAGGAGCAGGTCGCGCGTGTTGAAGGTGTTGTGGGTGCTAAGGGAGAAGGTGAGCGGGGACGCGGGGCCCCAGGCTTTAACGTGGAGACCGAGGGTAGTGGGGAGGGCCACGCCGCCAACGACGGTGATGGTGCAGCTAGGTCGTATTAGGGTTACTGTGGCTACAGGGGGGGGAGCGGAAAACGTACAGCATGTAGGCTGCTTTGCCTCTAAGTCCACTAATAGCGCTGTCGATTAGTCGATGCCGTTTGACCCAGAATTCGCCTTCTAATGATGAATCCTGCGAATGGCCCTCGTTAATAGGCCCTGCTTCTACAAGCTTCTTGACGCGCTGGTCGATGGCATCGTAGGCAGAGATGCAACATCCAACCGTTGTAGGATCTGGTCTTGTTAAGAAAGAAGCCAGGGCATCACCGGTGGTGACGAGATATGCACTCTGATGATCCAGAAAAGTGATCAGCATAACCAATGCTTTGATGAAATTGCAGCCAATGACTATGGCCATGAAAATAAGGCCGATCTGAACTTTGCTTGTGTTGGGGTCGATCGCAGGTTTAACGAAGGAGTACTGGATGTGATAGGTGTTGTTTGGGTTCTCCGCCCACTCTGTGCCCGGAGACCAAGAGTAATTGCCCGACAAGTCCAGCGTCTTATTTAGATATGCGATGGTATCTGGTATATACCAAGATCCCTCCTGCCATTGCATTTTGCTAGTCAACGATGAATCTTTCTCCGGGTCGACTGACACGGACATGGGAGCAGAAAGAGCGAAATTGGAGAGGGAGTGGTTTGGAGACTTGAAAAATTCGTATTCGAGGGCAATCTGGTCGACGATGAGATAAATGTCGCCGGTCTCCGAGACGTAGCGCGAGCTGTACGTCTTACGCCACTCGGTGTTGTTCATGCGGTGAATAGTTTTACTTGTATTGAGACTGTGATAGATGTCGGACTGGGCTACGTTGACGAATTGTGCAACATATTGATTTCCGGAAGTAACTTTGAAGATTGCGGCGTTGTAGCTAGAATATCTTAGTTCATACTCGTCTTCTCCGGATACTGACTTGAAAAACTCTAAATCCATGGTGTGTCAAGCCGCAGTACCCACTAGCCGCCCTTTCTCCATAATATGAAAACTACGTGTACAGTCGGCGGCCTGGGATATAGTAGTGATAAGAGAGATAACCAAGCCCAAGCTAAGAAAGCGAAATGCAAGACTTACAATAAATGAAGCGGGACAGACGACAGTGCCAGAATCCACCACAATGCAAGCCTGCGTTTGCTGATGCTCCAAAGATTCCTCGTACTGAGAATTCCAATGTTCAAATGCTGTCCCTTGACATGGGCCTTGTCGACCTCTTTCCTCGTTGGAGAGCAGAGCACCTGCATGGTATAATTGCTAGCACTCAGTAGCGATGTGCTGAGGATGTTGATGAGAACATGGTACATGGTGCTGAGATTGCCAATGCGATGGGCAGGTCCTTTGTGAAGCGTAGCAAAGCCATCGACATAACCGCCTTCAACTGTAGCTCCAATGGCGAAGAGGATGACGTTGATGCAGAGTACGACGACGGACAAAATGCAGCCGGCTAGAACGCCTAGGCGCCATCCGGCGTACCGATTATTACGTTGCCAGTTATTAAATTTGACGAGGAGAGGCCATGAATCGGCATTCCAGAATGCCTTTTTTGATACTGCTGGTCCTGCCGCAGCGTTTCCAATATCTTGTTGGATGAGTGGAGTGAAACCCGATCTAGCGGAACCTGCTACTGGTTTACGGGGCACTCTATATGGATTAGAACTTTGCTGGAATGATCCATGACTATGCCTTATGGTTAAGATGGAGCCAGTAAACGTAAGTATTCTAGCATCTTACCTCGATCGATTCTCTAACTCGATGCTCTCATAATCTCGAGGTCCAATATTTGTGTAATCTTGAGATCCCAATCGATGATACGTCTGACGACGGACAGTAAGGCCTAAATCGTGTTGTTCCTCGAGGCTATGATCCAAATCGTGGTCTCCGTACGACATCACGGTCAATCGGGAGGCTGGTGGTACGAGTCAGAAGTATAGGGCTAGAATCCGTGTAAATTGGGCCAATATGAGGAGAAGAGATTATCATAATGAGTAGTACCAGAGGATGGCGATGAAGTGGAGAAAGGTCAAGTAGAGGTTGTCTCGAGGTCCAGCGTGGGGGCCGTCTTTAGACTAACGTGTCCCTGCGCCCCAACCCTGAGCGCCACGCTGCATTCCATTTCGCACCGTTCAACCTACTCCTCTCGTCCACATCTAATGATGCATGATATATGGAGCGCTGACAGCCTGCCGCTAGTCAAGGTTTCCACTCGGATCCACCAGCAGAAAAGAATCGCCGAAACCTGTCTAAAAACATCGACTGTAGGCTATAGCCTTAGAAAGAACGAGCCTTAGAATTATGAAATCACGAAAAGAAAAAACCATGGGCATGGACAAGGACTGTCTCAACTCAAAGAAGTGAATTTGGACGAAAGCTCTAGTATATATACAAGAAGATAAGACAGCTCTACCACAGGCAGAACTCAGATTTTCGCCACCAAGAATCGCAAACATCGCGTTTTTACTGGCGTGAAAACATAACCTGAAGACCTAAACCAAATCGCACCACATCGCTCGACTCCCACTCCTATAATCCTAATTTTCAGGCGCATTTGCAGACGAAATTATCTACACACACTGGTAGTAGTACGGGTTCCAGTGCTTGCAGGTCGTTCCCGCAACACAAGTGGTAGCGCCAGTATAATTAATTCCACCGCACTGGTAGTACTTCGCTACGGGGCCCGTAGGCGTAGCGGTGGCGACCGCGGAAGTAGAGGTGGCGGCCTTGGTAGGCTTAACGGCTGTAACGAGGGTGGTAGGAGCAGCAAAGGTAGATGCAGGTGCAGAAGTGGCAGCTTTAGTGAAGGTCGAGACAGCGGCCGGGGTGGAAGCAGCGGGGGCGGAGACGACCATTGCAGACGAGACCACCGCTGCTGATGTGGCTGGGGCAGACGTGGATACAACCTTGGAGGCACTTGCGACAGCACTGGTAGCAACGGTACCGCTGGCACCATCCCAGACCTTGGGACCGGGAATAGGATAGGAGGTGAAGCCATTGTAGAGGTTGAAGAGAATGCCAGGGTCGGAGGCAGAGTAGGTACCTGGGATGGCGACGCCGGCGGGGAGGGTCTGTTGGATGTGAGGTTTTTGGCTTCTGGGAATCTACAAGTAGGGGATTATCTTACCTTTGTGCCAGCGCTGGTGACCTTGATCTGGACACACTCCATGTAGAACTGGGCACCACCGACGTTTTCGGCTTCATGAAGGGCAATGATCTCAGGCCTCAAGAGGTATGTGCCCGCGGCAAGATCAGGAAGGGTGATGCTGTGCTTGCCCTTGTTAGCGATGAGACGGCTGACGGCCCATTCGCCATCGTATCCATCTTCAGCGAGCTTGATCCACACGTCTCCGGCGCCGTTGGAGGATGTAGGTGCAATGTAGGTCATGACGGGACCGAGATGGGAAGAGGCGATGATGTCGTCGGACGCGGTGCGGTCGTTGTGATGCCATTCGAAGGTGATCTGCACAAATTAGTGCATGTGTTAAAGTCAAGGAAAGTGGAATGTACCTTATCTCCACCCACAACTGAGATGGTCTTCGCGGTCGCAACATTGTTGACGTTGCAGGTCATATCCGAAGACGTGACATCCTTCACGGGGTCGTTGTTCGATGGGGAGCGGATATATCCAGAAGCGCTGTTTCCAAGGCCTTGGTCGACGTCGTTAACCCAAATGGCGTAGACGGTGCTATGGGCCTGGGCGAGACGAGCTGCAGCTGCCAGAGCTAAAAGAGTGAAGGACTTCATGATGAAGATGCTGTAACGAGTGTAATGAGTGTGTGAAAGAAGGAAAAAGATTGTATAGACACGAAAGGAATGAATGAACGTGGAAAGGACTCTGCTTCAAGCGTGTGGTCTCTGTCGGAAGGATGCAGCATGGCTCTTATACTCGATCGAAGTATGGAATCGCCCATATTACGCCTAAGCGCGGAGACATGGTCAAGCTAGAGTCCGTTAGAGCAGGGGATAGGTGGTGGGGCGGCAGGATGAGATGGGCAAGTGCATGAAGCGGCTGGACCACGGAGATTCACGCCGAGGCCCAGAATCATCCAAAGGCGTCGCAGAAATGCCGCTGGAGGCATTTCGGTGAGCGCCAAGGCGGAATGGTAATATAGATGTTGTCGGAGCGGGCCCTGTTCATGTCGCTTACCAGGTGGTTGGGCACGATCTATCGTGAAACGCGGCCAGGGACAACCTGGCATCCAAGCGAGGCCGGTAGGGCGTTAAACAAAACGGTGGTGTTAAATCGGTATGCAAGCACGGATAAGATCTCGCTCTGTAGGAAGAAGCCGGGGCTTGGCGGAGAGAGATGACACCAAAGGGTTGGCGATGGGGGTGTTTTCGGAGCATTTTGGTGGAGTATGGCCGCGAACTCAACCCAGCAGCGAAGCAGCTACAAAACAACTACAATCCCTGGCTCAATGATGCTTATCCACAAATGTTCAAGATTGAGAAATAATACAAACGGATTTAACAAGCACGAAGAATGTCAATTAGAGATATCGCCAAGAACGAGAAGCAAGGACCGCTCGGAGAGACGGAACATGCATGTGGAAAAGAACCACTCACACCACCCGTGTCCCACTATCATCACTCCATCTGCTGGGGCAACTCTACGATCTGCTCCAGGGCCAAATGCTCGGATGCATGATAAACGGCCGATAGAGCCACGTCTACTGCGATATTAGCGTTTCAGCGGCGGTCAAGCAGCCCTCAGTGATAGCTCGGAAAACGAATCTGTGTAGTGCAGAGTCTCTCAGGCCTCAAGGCGTCGCTTCTCAGTCCCCACCTTCTGCATGCATCGAGACAGCCTCGCAGAGTGGTGGATATTGAGACGGTGGTCGGAAATGGGAGGGATGAAAGGGTCGAGGCGCCTCGCCTGGGCGGATACCATCACGCCCCTGACAGCTGCACGTCCTTCACCAGCCAACCACATTCACCGCGCCCGCACCTCCACCCACGATTCACGGCACATGGCGACGGGGGTGGAAAGGTGGCGGTGGAGGGGCAGGCTCACGATGCCAAGCGTCCCTCGTCGAGATTGCAAGCGGAGAATGCCGCCGAGACTCCAACACTCAAGGCTCCGCGACTGAGGCTTCTCCTACCAAGGTCGCGCAGGCATATTCGACCTCTTTCGCCTTCTCTCACGGCGAAGAACAGAAAAACGAAGCTGCCAAGAACAGCAATGTAGTATCCAGACGACCCTTCGCGCCGAACGCTAGCCGCCCTGCACTCCCATTCGTGGAGAAACTCACCGAGAATCCTTCACCTTCCCCAGCTTCACGGCACCTTACTGTGGGGATGGCCCCAGATTCACTCCACAAACTCGGCACGAATCTATAACTTCCCGCATTGCTCCATCTGGGGAAGCCAACGAGGTCCTGCTGCCAGTTCTTCTGCAATCTCGAGTGGAGAAGCAACACCATCGCCACCATGCCGTCGCAATTCTTCAAGAACCGCAGGGTCTATCTGCTTACCTCGGTAGCCTATATGGGGTCGCTGCTGTTTGGTATGTCGTCCCCCATCGCTGTATGGAGCACAGTTTCTGGAACACATGTCGAAACGAAACGAGTCCAGATGCTCAGCTTCCAACATCTTCAGCGCGCTGACTATGATGCACAGGCTATGACACCGGAGTAATGGGCTCGGTCCTCGCCCTCAAAGCATTCAAGCAAGACTTCGGCCTCCCAACTGACAAGTCTGGTTTTGCCAGCGCCAAAAATGCCTCCGTCAGCTCAAACGTCGTGTCGCTGCTCACCGCCGGCTGCTTCTTCGGTGCCATCGCTGCCGCATTCCTGAACGAACGCTTCGGACGTCGGTACAGCCTCATGGGCTTTGCTTTGATCTTTTTGGTTGGCGCTTCCATCCAAACCGCCGCTCACCATGAGATCGGTATGATCTATGCCGGGCGCGTGATCGCTGGATTAGGAATCGGTGGCATGAGTAGCATTACTCCTGTTTTCGTCAGCGAAAACAGTCCACCGAATGTGAGGGGACGCATTGCCGGGTTGTTCCAAGAGTTCTTGGTCATTGGCAGTACCTTCGCGTAAGACAATTGCCTTACTTTCTGTCCTCCTTCACATGTTGCATCCTCGCGAAGCAACCGACTGGAAAACACTAACACCTCCCAGCTACTGGCTCGATTATGGCGTCTCCCTTCACATCCCCGTTTCCACCCGCCAATGGCGCATTCCTGTCGCCATCCAACTCATCCCCGGCGGTTTTATGCTCATCGGCCTCTTCTTCCTCAAAGAATCCCCCCGCTGGCTCATGAAGCAAGGCCGCCACGACGAGGCCGCCGCCTCGCTCGCCCACATCCGCTGCGAAGAGCCCGGCAGCGAGGAAGTCATCAAGGAACTCGCTGAAATCCGTGCCGCTATCGAAGAAGAGCTTAACGCGACCGAGGGCGTCACGTGGAAAGAATGTTTGCTTCCCGGCAACCGTTATCGCTTCCTCACAGGATTTTGCCTCATGTTCTGGCAGCAATTTTCCGGCACGAATAGCATTGGATACTATGCGCCGCAGATCTTCCAAACGGTGGGCGTGTCTAAGTCGTCTGCGTCGCTGTTTGCGACTGGTGTGTACGGGACTGTAAAGGTCGTGACGACAGGCTTGTTTCTGATTCTTGGTATTGACCGCTTCGGGCGGAGGAAAAGTCTGCTGGCTGGCGCCGCGTGGATGGCTACTATGATGTTCATCATCGGTGCGGTTTTGGCAACGCATCCACCGGTTGTGAAGTCAGACACAGTCTCGTCTGCGTCTATTGCCATGGTCGTTATGATCTATCTCTATGTCATCGGATACTCCGCATCCTGGGGCCCCGTCCCATGGGTGTATCTGTCGGAGATTTTCCCAACGCGCCTGCGCGCGTATGGTGTTGGCATGGGTGGTAAGTTGCCATTTCCCTCCACGTTGCTTCCAACGCATACTAACATCTCTCTTAGCTGCGACTCAATGGCTCTTCAACTTCGTCATCACGAAAATCACCCCCGAAGCTGTTAATCACATCGGCTGGCGCACTTTCCTCATGTTCGGTATCTTCTGTATGTCAATGGGCATCTTCGCGTTCTTCTTTATCAAAGAAACGCGCCGCCTCAAGCTGGAGGATATGGATATCCTCTTCGGTAGAGTGACGGCTGAGCAGCGCGCGGAGGATGTAGAGAGGACGCTCGCTGTAGAGAAGAAGGGCGCGATATATTTGGAAGAGGCACCGAAGGCTTGAGGAGGTCAAGGGTCAAGGGTCGGCTAGTGCGGGCAGTGATGTGTGGTGATATGGCTGTCTCTCTCCTATATCAAAGCTAGTCTTCTCTCAGTTTTAGTATAGTGATACGCTTTCCAAACGCGATCATTTACATGTCATGCCCATGTTAATATCATGACAGATCGAGCACACATATTGACAACATCTCCATCTCTGGTACCTGTCCCCCAAAGACCACCTGCTGCGCACCGAACGCCCTACCACGTGTCCGTGGCCGCTTTTCCAAAGCTCCAGCACATTACAACTCATAGCATCCAATAATTTCCCGTCCAACATCTTCACATCCGCCGCCCAACATCCTTGTCGTAGACAGAGCCGGTTCTGGATAGACTCACATTCTCCACGCACTCTCCGAACCGGAGATGCGTTGGAGAGGATTTCATTAGCCTCTTCCCAATTCCCAAACCTGCTTGTATAAGTACTAATGAGAAATTCCTTTACCAAACTATTCACTGATATATCTCTCTCTCTGGTCTAGCAGCATCATCTCCTCATCCCAACCCTGAAATAGTAACAGAAAGCCTACCTCGCATCTAGAGACTGAGCAGTGAGAAATGCCCGTTCCCATCTACACTTCAAACGGTCCGCCAGGCTTTTCCGGCCCTCCCTCCTTCAATCCCCAAATCGCCCCTGCGCCTGGCCGTGCTCCTAACACTCTGAACCCCCACCTCCACCCAGCTCCTCACGGCTTCCCTCCAGAAATGGGGTCCCCCACCCCCCTACAAACCCCCTTCCCCACCCAGTCCCACGATTATCGCGCACCAATGTACTCCTCTCATTATCCGAGCCCGTACCGCCACCCAGATCCTTTCAACCCCACCCTAGGTAATAGTATGATGCGACGGCGGGCCCCAGTAGATCAAAGCCAAATGCATTATCACCAGACTCAATGGGCTCTGGCGCATAGTGTCTCCAGCCTTCAAGTACGCCATTCCACTCACCAGCAAATTACATGCCTATGCAGCCCGGCAGCAGCAGCTTCGACCTGAACCTGCGCACCAGCAGCCACAAGCGCAGCCGCAGCTGCAGCCGCTTGAGGGGTATGGGCCCCCGCTGTCTGGGCTAGGCCCTAGGTCGTCGAGGGCGGCAGAGATTGGTCGGAATCTGGGGTGGCCGATTCAGGGGAGTCCGGGTGGAGCATGGGGGTTCAGGTGATGTGAGTACTACTTCGGCTTTTTTTTCGAAATAGATACTAGCAGGCATGTTAATGAAAATTTCATGGCTTTGCTTTTTGAACGATCAGATATTTTGAAGTGAATTGGCGTTCAAGCGGATGTGAACGGTTAAGAACCTTGCATTGATATGGAATGTATGTACTCTCGCAGGATGGGGGATGGGTGGCGGATATGTTGCGAGCTTTTCGACACCTCAGAAGCAAAATGTGGAGGGATAGGCTTTCTTCGGAGGTGATGAAATAGCTTTATGCTCCGATCTACGGTTTTACCGGCGAAATGTTAGCAATATTTGTCACGCTAAACTGCCAACGCATTCATTGCCACACAACTCCGTTCTTGAATGGCTCTCTTCACTACTAGAGAATGTGTAGTCAACATTTTTCATGCACCTTGTTCCTCATGGAGAGTGTGTGTCGCCAACACGATGCCCTTATCATGCATTCTTCTTTGCTAATTAGAAGTTCGACAACCCCATCACCTCCTCAAAACGTGACTAGCGAACTCTTAAAAGGGAGTCTTCTACTATTTTTATATCAATCCCATAATGGGAATCACAGCTTCTATATGATGATCTAAGTATCCTCAGAGTCACTTCTCATAGCGCATCACAACCCCCAACGCCCCTACCTCCATGAGCACGTATACACCGTATCCGCATTCGTTAACCTACAACTTCTCGAGTCCTGCTCAGATGCCAATACCGCGTGCGCGGGTGTGGGTGGGGCGGGGGGGTATTTAAACTTGTCTATCTTGGTAAAGAAGCGGAGATACTCAAGCACGAGTCTGAGAAGGAGCATCGTCTGAAATGCAGTTGGGTTTGTGTGTTAGTGGTGTCACGGATGCATGCGTGTAGTCAGGACTTCTGGGTTAGGTGTGGCCACGTCACGGATAGAAGCATGACCGTCGTAGCAGGATGATCGAGAATGCTAGAGCGGAAGGACGTATATGTTGGAATGGGCGTCGCATTGTGAAGGCATGAGGTGAAAGTTGGTGAGTATTGTTCATAGTGAATCTACTTAGCTGCATTGTTGAGGTATGTGTCTAGCTACTTCCCCAGGTCTTCCACGTTTTGGGATAGAGTTCAGGAAGAATGAAAGTGATGATAACCATCCCATCCCCATCTTCCGCACGGTTCCCGACCACATGATCGCGTAGCCCGCATGGGTTGCGGCCCAAGATCGAAGGTGCGGTAGACTATTACCGGATGGCCTGAATTTACACAGCCGATTCGCCGTCTCAGAGTATGTTGGGGTGGTCGTGCTGCTCTTGTGCTTGTATTCTGCGAGAGATGTCAGCGAAGCGTTTAGCCCTGGAATCTCGCTTGAGTCATTGGAGACGTAATTCGACATTTGGGACATGCTGCTGTATTTTGCGGGATTTGGAAGAGAGCTAAGGATTGTATTGATGTGGACTAAGGAGGCCGTGAACTACTTATGGTCGACTCAAGGCGCTATTGAGACACTATAGGCGGTGATGCCTAACGCAAAGAGACGTCAACGTCAAAGCAAAAACCCGAAGACGCACTGAAGTATCCCGAGCAGTAGTGGCGCGCAAGTGCACTCATTCGATAGTCTGGACTCACCTCGCTCTCTGATACCATGCTTTCGTCCTCTTCCAATGGGACCTCTCGACGAACGTTTTCGGTGACTAGAACTTGGCCTGATTGACCGAATCTTAGAGGAGGAGGAAGATCAACTCGTGGCTCTCCGGTCGACCTGGCTTCATCCTGATTGACTTGTTCTCCGACCTCAAACTCAAGAGCTTGAGCAGCTCGAATAGCTCCACGAGCAATCTTCTCAACCGACTGAATGATAGGGAACCCAAAATCAGAACGAGAGTTGTAGCTTGAATCCGACTCAGAGCTATTTTCCGCGTCATTATTATTATTCAGTAGCTCGCCACCCTCACTCGCATAGAGGTCTTTCAACAAAGTGTTCTGGGCGGCGGCGAGGGGATTGTCGGGAGGACTATCATCGGTCAACGGAGCTTGATATATGCCAACTGGGTGAGATGATCTCAAGGAGATGGGCTCTTCCCCGGCTGGTGAATCCCGGAGAAAATCATAATCGTGTAGAATATCCACAGCGCTGCTCTCAAAGCCTTTCACCGCGGTATGAACGTCCCTAGTCCTACTGCAAAGGTCGTTGGTCCTTAGCTGGAGGTAACCCATTAGATTGTGGGTGGGACGGGATCGCGGGAAGCTTCTCCGAGGTGGAGTTGAGTCGTCAGTGTCATGTAATGATGCGTCTGAAGGGCGGAAAACGGGCGCTGGAACTGGCAAGTGTTGCAGGCTAGGAACAACTTCTAACTGTTGTCTACGAGAAGGCGTATTATGGCGAGTATTAGCTGTTCGGGATGGAACTTGCGCTGAAGTACCTCTCAGCAGCCGACTTTCCTGGTCTCGTCCACTTCTCATCTCTGTGTGACTTGAGGGTGCCAGCTCTCTGCGTGGGGTTCGAATTGATGCATGAGGACTCACGAGGGCTGCCGCAGGCCTTGAGACAAACCTCTGGCATGTTGCGCAGACACGAGTGACAGGGCCCGTTTCACCACTGCCCGGACCTGTATACGGTACTCTACAGTCTGGACACCTCGGTGGTTGCAGATCCGCCCTAGCAGCTGAATTTGATCGATCCGAAAGGGGAACAGGATTGGGGTTACCGATAGTAGTCCCATTCCGAGAACTTCTCCTCGTTCCAGCGAAACTGCTGCTCCACCTCTCAATCTCCTGCGCCATAAAGTCAGCCCCTCTCACCGACCCAAGGAGGTCACGATCAGTCCCACGATCAGCTTCCATCCGAACTCTTACCTGCTCATCAAGCTCCAACCTCCGCTGCCGAAAATGACGAGTTAGGTCTGGCGGAGTTTCCAGACTCCGTGGTGATGTTGAAGGTAGTGATCTCGATCTGCGGCGCTCTGTTCTCATCAGTGCTCCCGTGTGTTCCTCATCATCCAGCCGCCGCTGTTGGTGTCGTCGTCGAGATGCCCTCAGCACGGGGTAATTCTGGTCTATGAAAAGACAGTAAGTATTCCCAACTCCTAAGACTTTGAAACTGCGTTCCTGTGGAGCCTCACGCCTATCTAGTCGAAGAGGGACATGTAGCCCGCGAAAGGCTGTCCTGCCATTAGGAACGCGATTTCTGAGTCGTGTGGTCCTAGATTCTTGTGATGACGTGTTGCCCATGTCTGGTGGTCTATGAGATAGACGATGAGTTTCCAAAATGATATGAGAGTGATCTTTCTGCAGATGTGTGTGCAAATGGCAAAGCGTCTGCAACCTGATTGATTCAGATGTATATATGCATCGCGGTCAGGGACTAAACAATGTGCTTACAAAGAACAACACTGTCCTGGCTGAGGCAAAGCAACAATGTGGTACTTTTGAGACATGGAAAAGACAAAGGAGCTCTTACGTCACCCACTGCAAACTCTCCATCTGGATAATTATTTGGATCTTTCTTCCCAATTTCTAAGCATCTGCGCCGTCTGGACGTTCACTTCTCATCTGGATATTTGATAACGCACTGATACACTTCAGGCACTGGCGAGCCTCGGTGTAAAGACTTTTCTCCTTACGATATAGATTCCGTGAGGGACAAGACTGCTGTGTCAGCCACACTATTGTGAAGTTCGTCTGCGAGCTTCCAAAGTGATCGTATTCCACCCCGTCAGTGATTTGAAAGACGCGCTCGCACAAGTGCATTTGTAGTTTCACCGCGTCATTGTAGGACGACAGATGGACCACCTGTGATACAGTCCGATAGTCACCTACGCCAGAACGTCATCTCGCTGTGACTGTACCTCTTTCATATATCGAGCCCATCCATGCAGTGTCCGCACCAACCGCAGTCCTTATCGCACAGACCCCAGTTCTGATCTTCGTCAAACATATCATAGCTCGACGGACTCCGGTCATACCAAGCAGCAGATGCCGCAACACCACGAGAGCCACTCGCAACCTCACGTCCAGTGTCCTTCTTCTTCTTCTTCTTCTTCTTCTTCTCTTTCTTCGCTGGCTGTGCCGCTTGCTTTTCATCAGCAGTTTTGCCCTTGGCGGTTGTAGTTTTAGGTGGTACCGAGACACCACCGCCCTCGATCCGTCGGAAAGCCTAGAAGACTGTTAATGCCCATTCTTTCCCTTAAATACCATACCAGCTTACCGTCCCATCAGGCGCCTGGTCCTCGATACTCATAGATGTCATGCCCAGGCCTAACACGTAGATAACAGCCTCGCGGGTCTGCTTCTGCTTCGCCTCATGCTTTGGCGTGGTAGCGGCCGCGGCCTGGGTCAAAGCAGTCACCATTCCGGTGGAGGGTGGAGACTCCGTCACGCCTGGTTTGTGTCTTGACGAGTCACGCTGATGGATTTCCATGAACTTGTGTCTTGAACGATTCCCGCAGTCGCAGAGAACGGGCTTCGAGTTGGTCTTGCTTGTAGGAAGTTTGAGGCAAGGAGTGCAGGGCCCTTCGCCGACATGATGACAGGCTATGCAAGCGGAGAGTGATGGATGGCGGCTGCAGTCGATAGGGATGGTGGAGGAGGGCGGGGCGTGGAACGCGGAACACGTGGAGTTTCCCCGCTAAGACTGACTCGTCACATGACTGCTCAAATGTCCCCTTCATAAAATTAATAGATTACTTGATGTCGCTCATACAAAATCCCAAATGCACATGAATGCGCAAGTATACACAGCGGCATCAAACTCCCTAATTCTGTGGAAGGGCTGGCAAAGTGCAAACACCCGGTGTCTGGAAACTGGGATAGTTTTGAAGGTCAAACTTCGGCGAAGCGCAGGTAGACGTCTCGGTGACTGTTATGTAGACAACGCTGCAGCATCCGAGGGCGGAAGCCGGCCTTATGAGGGTTGTCAGAACACTGAAGCAAGTCCACCAATCAAAACAGCAAGCGCCGGGGCTGGGACCGATATCCAACGCCGTGTTTGCAACATTCGAGGCTGCACAGGTTGGAATAAGTGTGTAGTTCGGCGCGACAGCATGCGCAGTCTGAACGTCCTCAGGGCCCGAATCTGTAGTCGACGTCGATGAGCTTTCCTCGTCGGAGCCCCAAAATATTCCTTACCTACCTCGCTGTGATCTTGGTCTTCGTCATCAGCATGCGCAGTCTGAACGCCCTCAGGGTCCGAATCTGTAGTCGACGTCCACGAGCTATCCTCATCGGAACTCTCAAAAGATTCTTTAGATGCCTCGCTGTGGCCTTGGTCTTCGTCATCGTCTCGGTTTTGGGCTGCAAGTTCCGCCATTCTGGGCGTATAGCGGCGAGGCCTGTTTGGGTCTTTGTTCACCGTAATGGAGGAAGGTATGTAGTGTATCCGATGCGGTGCATAGACGTTTTGTCAATTATGTTGAGAGCCTGGCAGTGATGATTGAGACGGATTAGGACTCCCTTGAAAGCTGTACCACTCGCGTGGCTCTGAGGGAGCGAGCAAAGAATCGCATCTTTCTCCCTCGCTCCCAGGAAGCGGTTCGGTTCCTCGTTGAGTGCGAAATCCGCCCTTTTCATCCACCCCCTTCTAAAATTCTCCTTCTCTCAACTTCCGCTTCCACCGCCTCGACAGTCATCGGGGCCTTTCCCCTCCCCTTCCCTTCGCCCCACCTCTCCTCTTCTCCTTTCACAAAGGCCTCCGTACTCAACAGCCCCACTACCAAGAAGCCCAACTCTTCCCGATCCGTATCAAACACCTCCCACCACTCATTATCCGGCAGCTTCACGCCCACCTCCCTCGCGGCGAGATATATGGCTGCAGTCGCAAGCGCCGGCGGCTGATGCGTGAGGTACAGTAGCTGCGGGCTCAACAATGATGTGTTGAGATGCGCAAACGCCCGTTTGGCAAGCGCAGACGCCTGTGGGTGCTGGAAGACGTCCAGCGTCTGGAGGTAGTTGACGCACAGGGTGTATGGCAGCGCGACATGGGTGTCGAAGCCTAGCACTCTGAGGATGTGAGACTCGGTCTTCATAAGCGTGACGCGTTGGGATAGATAGGTCCCTTCGGAGAGGTAGTATGCGTCGGGGCTCTCGGGCACTTTGGATGAGAAAAGTGAGGAGGTGAGGAGGGTCATGGGGAGCGAGGAGAGGTAGGCGTATGTTGTCAGGATCTGGCGCGGGGACTTAGGGTATGGGGAGAGCTTGGCTATGAGGTAGAGACTGCTTGCGGAGACGATCTGTGGGAGTCAAAGACGTGAGAGATGATCTAGTGAGGCGGAGCACAGACGTACCTCTGTCCCATATTCTATGAGACTGCCACCCTCCGGGCCTACCCAAAAGCGGGTGAAGAGGATAATTGCCCGTGCTATGATTTCTTGAGGCAGGCGGAGGAGCATACCCGCTACCTGAGTGAGGCTTGCGCCAGCGAAGCGGATCGAGTCTTCGAGGTCGGCAGGAACGCCATCGAGTTGGGACCCCGAGGAAGACAGTTGAGCTGTAGTTGCTAGAGGGTTCACCAATTGAGAGGATTGAGTCGGTGTTGGAGCCATGTTAGGGAGGGTAGTGAGGTTGGTGTTGGACGAAGAGCTTCAGATGTTCACATTTGGAAGGTCCGAAGAAACCCCGCTAGCTTGAGAACATTCCAACTCTCGTCATCCTCCATTTCACTTCATCATAGCAGTCGTACGACATATTCGAGGCAAACGGCTCTCGGAATGGCTTCCATGTAGTCACATACCAATGACTTACAAGCACTCGACATTTGGCTGCCTCTGCACATCTTTGAACGACCCACCAGACAACCCTATTTTTATATCCGCTTCGAAACAGACGCCTTGCCTGGGCCTAGTATTATCCTTCTACGTATTTTCCATCCTCGTGTACTTGTCAATGCCCTTATGTTATTTGCCGTCTTGGTTTCCTTACGTCAATTAGCTATGCAACGAGGCCTTTCCGCGTGAGGGCCTCTAGAAAACCCTTTCATAGAATAATACCTGACATAAATAGAACAAGTCACGCTTTAGAATTGGTATATTTCTTCGATTCTAAGACCAAACGGGGTCACGTCCCCTATCGCTGCGACGGAATGATAGGTATAAGCAAACTGGATCGCGTACTCCCCCCCCGTGTGCACTGTCCTCCGTCCCCCGAAGATACTCTCTGGTCTATCCTCAACATTTGTATGCAGCCAGGGTCCCGACCCTTTCGCAACCCACACCTCATGTTTGCCTGGCACCTCCCGCTCGAAGGGTTTCCCGCTGATTTGGAGCGCCAGTCGGAAACCCGCAGGAAGAATGATGCTCGTAGGCCAGATTTCGACGTTTAGTTCATAGACTTCGTTCAGTTTCACGGGCGAAATCTCATCGTGGCTATGGTATGGTCGATAGGGAAGGCTTTTTGCCGGATCGAGCTTGCGGTGCGAGGCCCATAGCCAGCTCTGAGCGAGCGGTGTGTGCGGACCGACGGTGCCTTGAAAGTCGGCTTCTTTTCCTTCCGGAGAGAAGGCTTGCAGAGTTACGAAGAGATCCATGTCTGCTGTTGATGATGAGGTGAAGAGTTTCGCTGCTAAAGGTCCTGTGATCTCGGTTTCAGACTCTAGGGGAGGGGAGAGGAAGGTGAGTGGTTTTCCTAGCGCATCAGAAGACACTGACGATGCTGTGCCTGGTTCATTCCATGAGAGCGTGGTCGCATCTCCAGCTGCCGAGAGATACGTTTCAGTCCACTGAGTCGATGACAGCGGCCACGCTTCTTCCCTCCGCAACTCAAACTCATTATCCTCGAAGGGCCGACGAAGCCGAAGCGAGACCGGCGCCTCCTCCATCCACCCATTCTTCAAGTCTTTCAAGAAGCAGTCCAGGAACCTTTTCTGGATATCAATACCCTGCTCTAAATAGAACCACTCTTCATGCCGACCCGGATGGCATTCAAGCCACTTGTGCTCCGAAGCAGCATGCATAAAAGCCTCAAAATTGCCACGAGGATGCAACCCGAATCCTGCCAAGTTCGTCGCGCTGAGAAATGGCACCGTTAATTTCGACCAATCCAAGATCGGGTCTGGTAGAATTCGTCATCCAGAGGATGGTCCAGCATGGCTCTGGACATGTCTTGGCGATTGGCCTTCAGTTGCTCTTGAGTCAACACAGTTTCAGGCTTATCTGGGTCCGCTCCACTCGCGCTGGCATTCAACCAAGAGTCTTGCACAGCGGATTGATTCCCGTGTTGAATCATTTGAATCTGTCCGGGATACCAAGCTTCCAAGAATCCATTGGAAAAAATACCTCCATGGCGCCCAACATCGCGATAGAAATCGGCAGCGCCTTCCCACGGGACAATTGCCGTGATATGAGGCGGTCTATCACCCTGATCAGCACCATTTCCGCAGGTGCGCAGACACGAGATTCAGCTGTGGAATAACTTACTGCAATACAGCCACCTGCCACTGATTAATGGCATAATACGAAATCCCACACAACCCAACCTTCCGCTACTCCACTCCTGGACCCCAGCCCACTCAATCGCGTTATAGTAATCCTTCGCCTCCCGCGGCGAAAAGACGTCGAGATACCCTGGCGACCGCCCAGCACCTCTGGAGTCCACACGGATGACGACGTAGCCCCAGGGAACCACGTCTCTGGATCGACGGTCTCCCAGGTCATGAAAGAACGGGAGGAACCGGGAAGGATGTTGGGGTGGGTGGTGGTCAGCCACTTCCATTGAGCGGCGTAGCCGGTCTTGTATTCGTTCCCTTTGCCGTAGGGGCCCATAGTCATGATTACAGGGTACTGGAAGGAGTCCTTGGGGCGGAAGATGTCCGCGCGTAAGGTAGTGTCGTCCGAGAGGATGGGAACGTCGCGTTCGATAATCATTTTGTCCATTTTGATATATTGGCGGTGTTGGAGTAAGTGTTCAAGATCACGTGACAGCAACCGAGGACAAGAAGTCTAGGAAATTTTGGGTATAACTTTTACTCTTGAAGGAACTCGGGTTTTATATACCGACTAACTAATCGTGCCAGGCGAGATCTGTTCGCGGAGTTCCCTTGTCAATGCGGTGTCCGCGGCCCCTCGAAACAATACACTATATATCGACCACTCGCGCTTAAATCATAGCGAAAGCCGAACTTGCCAACGTCACGTTGCAAATATAGCTACTATTTTCTCTGTACTTCGCGTTCGGAGAATTCATGCCTCGGTCCCAAAAGACACTGTTTATTACCATATCCCTACTTACTAGCAGGAAGAAGCACCCCCCGACACTCACCAAACCCAATCCTGTCCTCCCCTTTTCCACACCACCCCTCCAACACCACCTCGTCATGGTCCTCCAAGTACCCGAGGCTTGCTCCGTCCTCGAACTGGATCGGTTTTTCTCCGCCCTGCGTCGCCTCAAAGAGACAGCCGAGCTCGCCCTCGCGCTGAAATCATCAGGTTAGCCCGAAGCCCGAATCGCGACGAATAGTTGCGCAACGTACCTCTCCTGAGATCGTCCCCGAACCCAGCAAATCCCCTGCCCCGAGACCACAGCCCGCAGAAGCGTGGTGAGCGAGTTGTTGATACGGCGACCAATACAGCCAACGTAAATTACTCTTCGTAACCTCATACCTTTTCTGATCTCTCACAAGCGCCGCCGTAAGCTCAACATCAAAAGTCCCCACCTCCCGCTCCTTCCACTTCAGATGCTCAAACTCCGTCGCACTATGATCATGCTTCGGCTCGCACGCAAACGGCTCCAGCGCATCCAGCGTCACCACCCACGGCGAGATCGATGTCCCGAAGCCTACTCCATTGTCAAACTCTCGCTAGTGCTATATATCGCGGACTAGACATACCTTTGCTGTGAAACGGCCCCAGCGGATTCATCTCAAACGCCTGGATATCCCGGCTCGACCAGTCGTTCAGCAGCACGAACCCGAAAATATGCTCGCGCGCGTCGGCGATGCTCATCGTCTCCCCGTGCGCGATGGGCGTGGATACGAAGTAGCCCATCTCGAGCTCGAAGTCCAGCTTCTGCGACGGCCCGTAGACGGGGTTCCCGCTGCCTTTACCTGTGTCGTACATGACGCCTTTGGGCCGGCGGACGGGTGCAGGGGAGGGGATGACGCTGGAGACGCGGCCGTTGTACACCGAGGGGGCGTGGTAGAAGTTGGGAGCTACTACGCCGCCGGTCATGGGGCTGCACTGATCGAGCCCGGTGAGAAGCTGGCTAGGGGTTGTTGTGGGGCGGGCCTTACGTTTTGGCAGTGCTCAAGCGAGCAGAAGAAGTCGGAGTAGCCGCCGATTTGCATGGGGAGGTGCATGCGAGCTTCGGGCAAGGAGATGAGACATGACTCTGGGACCTCGCTATCCCGGAGTGCTTCGATTAGGTGGGCGCGGATGGCGGTTCTGGTGGTTGATGGGAGGGCGGCGAAGGTGTTTAGAGAGGGCTGTGGAGTTGAGTCAGCTTGATGGAGTAGGTTTATGCAATTGGAGATCAATGGATCACCTGATTGAAGATGGCGTGAAGGGTGTCGCAATCGAGTGGGACGAAGTATTTGTCGTCTGAGGCTCTGTAGTGGAAGTATAGCGGCAAATCGAGGGCGTAGTCGCCAATTGCAGTCGCGCAATGGGGTTCGGGGTTTGCGTCTGTTGAGATCACGCCGAAGGGGATGTTGTGCAACGTGAAGGACGAGCCTTCGGGAATAGTGACTGTGAAGCCCATGATCACTGAATCAGCAACAGATGACTTATACTAGACGTCAAACTACGAGAGAATAGATGAGAGAAGCACATATTTAAGCCACCGCACATCCGGGCACCGGACTTGCGTAGCAAGCGACAGGTCACACAAAAGTGCGGGGACCCGACGTACTCGGGATATAGTTGACAAAAGCAACACCTAATATACAAATACCCTCAGGTCTCCACAGCAACTTCCCACTATAACCCCAAGACCTCATCATCGCAACTTCCCTCGACATCCAGGTTACTGTCCCCTCTCCCCTTCAAAACAATCCAAACTCGTTCCTCTCCAACCACTTCTCATCAACCCAAGACCCTCTATCTCATCATGTCCCTCCTCCCCGCCCCCCGCCGCATCGTCACCGGCCACAACGGCCGCGGCCGCGCCATCGTCGTCGCCGACAGCCCTGTCCCGTGCGAGCCCACGCCGCTAAAATGCAACTTCGCCGTGCTCTACGAAACGCACCAGTTCCCCGCGTCGCTCGACGAGTGGGAGGACCCAATCACGACGCGGACAAAAAGCCTAGCGAACGACAAGGGCGTCGTGTTGAGAGTCGTGGATTTCCCGGCCAATACGAAGACGGTGCGTGCGTTTAGTCACATTTAAGTAAAAGAGTGGATGAGTCACGTGATATGTATATTTAAAGTTTGAAGGGCTTAGGCTAACTGTGGTGGCGGTCTGGTGGGCAGATCTACCATCGGACTGAGTCGCTTGATTTCGGGATCTTGCATGAGGGCGAGATTACGTGCCATCTCGATGACGGTGTGCGTATTGATATGAAGGCGGGAGATGTCTGTGTGCAGAGAGGCACGATTCACGGATGGACGAATTACTCGGATAAGCCGGCGAGGGTTTACTTCATCTTGACGGCGGCGACGCCGGTGAAGATTGATGGGAAGGAGTTGAGGGATGAGGGTTTTGTGAGGGAGGAGGTGGAGTCGGGAGGAGCGCAGTAGGCTGGGTGAGTGTGCAGGGGTGGATGGAGAGGGTAGGATTTGGGGGATGGTGGAAAATGGGTGTCGTGTAAGGTTTTTCGGGAGGCTATCTAGATCGATTAAACGATTGCATCCGATTTCAAGATCTTAGAGTATGCTAAATGACTTCCCACACCGCCTTGAATATAAGGGGAAAAAAAGAGGTGAAGGGTATTGTTTAATCTGGGAGCAGATGCAATGGCTGAGGGGTGGGAGTTGAGCGGGAGCTAGATAAGATTTTTCGTGGAGTTGACAATCTTAGAAGTCCTTCAAGATACCAAGGGACTTCATCCCTGAATGTGAAGTTTCAGATAGTCATATTAGTAGCAGGGATTTCACTCACAAAGACAATTTATGAAGAGAAGAAATCCAGTTGGTCTAATAGCTACAAAAGCTCAACCTAATGTTGGCACGCTCGCTATGATAGAAGTACCCACAACCTTACCTAATCTACCCCATCATCGACCTACAAAGGCTCCATTATAGCAGTCGGTGGGACCGCTCTGTGATGAAAGAGAGGAAAATCGAACAGGAAAGTAACAAAGCATAGAACAGAAAGGAAAACATACTGTAGAAGTGACACGCAGGGGAACAGGAGAGAAGGTCGATACAGGAAGGGGTAACAGAAGGAGGAAACAGAGTGCAACGGGGGTAAAGTCCGCGCAAATCATAGCCCCATCGTGTGTATCCGAACACCGACTTTCCCCTCAAGCTCCCACCTCATTGTCCCTCGCAGTGTCCTCACTAGTATCTTCTTCAACCGCCTCCGGAAGCTCATGCTCCAAGCCCTGGAGCTGTTTCATCTCCGCCCACATTCCCTTCACGACACTCGGCTTCACGCGCCTATGCCCCTGCCCCCGGAGCCGTCCCTCACCAACAGCCGGCTCACTATGATCCCACACTACCGTCGCGTTCTTCGGGATTGCCTGCACAAAGCTGCGCAGAAAGGCTTTGAACATCCAGTGAACGTCCTCCCACTTCTGCATGGCATCCTCGTTAACATAGTGATTCGGGCCGCGGGTGAGAGAGATGGTGAGTTGGTTAAGCGAAGCCATCTCGCTAAAGAGCGCCATCCAATCCACCAACGTGTCGACATCGAAGGTAGTGGATAGGACAAGCTCAAGATGCAAATTGGTCATGGCGGAGAAGTCCCAGCCAGAAGGCTTGATGATGTTGGTGGGTTGGTGGATGTGGTCCCAGTTGTGGCGAGAGAGCGTAAGGGCGTAGATATTCCGGGAGTAGAGGACATGCTTCGCCTCCCTATTGATCTGCTTATTCGTCGCCAGAATGGCGGTATACGCCAGCGGTTTGACCTTGACAGGCTTCGGGATGATGGCTGTGCCTCCCATGTGGATACGTTTGATTGACTCGCGTTCGCGGCGGGTCTTCCGGAAGTCACGGGCTTCCTGGTTGATGAAAAGCCGTAGGGCGTGGAAGGGGGAATCGTCGCGTTGGTTGACTAGGAGGAGCCTGCGAATTGTTGTTAGCTACGATATTTCGGGCTCTACGGCGTGAGGAAAACCTACTCGTAGATCGAATTCCGGAGCTCAGCAGGTAGGTCAAGGAAGCGGAACTTGCCCTTGGGCTTCCAGGCGACACGGCGCCTATACGTGTTAGCGAATGGAACACTAGAAGGCGTCATTTGGTACTTACTTCTTCTTCGGGCGCTCGTTGTCAATGGCAGCGATATCATCCTCACTGTCGAACAAGAAACTCATGTCCGCGCGGGCTTCACGTTCAGGGTTGCGTCGAGTGCCGGCGACTAGAGTGGAACGCGTCGGTTGGATATGCGGACGCGGCGTACAAGCGGGCTTATTAGGGAGCCTTCCCACCTGATATCGCGCGGTCTGCTTACCACGCGCCATAGTAAGCCTTTAGACTATGTTTTTGTAGTGGGGGTGTATTTGAGAGGGTGTGAGATTCGGCGTGTACGGTGGTGATAGGTCTGGGAAGGCTGGCAGAGGGGTCATACAGCGCCGCGCTTTGGAAGCTTGATGTTGTTGACGCTGCAAGGCTGAAGGTGCGAGCGTCGCCGCTGAAGATGACAGCAGGTCTTTGAGCACCGCCGTACAGCTGCGGTGGCGAGTGCTACGGCGACGGCGCGCTACTCGAATGGTATGGGAAGCTTGGAAGCCTTCAGACGAGGCCGGTGGATGTTGTGAGTTCGTGCCAGGCAGTCAATACAGATGTGGTGGTCGGTGGGGGGTTGAAAGGTTGTGGAGGTTGGCGGTCGATGTGAGGTAGATAAAAGCTCGAACGCGTCGCTACGCGAGAGCACGTGGTCCTTTGACATCTCACTTTCGGGCTCAGGTCCGGCCGGGTAAACTCGGGCACCAGTTGCGATGTTGTTATGTTGGAGAAGCGAGGTCCGATGGGGCTAGTGAATCGCAGTGAGGAGCTGGGAAGAGATATCTAGATGTTTGAGGAAGGATATAGAACCGAAGAATGACGGTCGATGTCGCACCGCACGTCCTACTTATTGCACAAACCCAGGGATTCACATGAAACTCTGATTTCTGACAGGGCGTTGGGGTGGTACCTTAGTGACGGTGGCAGGATAGTGTGCGTAGACCAACCCAGAGATCAGAGAGAATGATATCAATAATTCCGGATACTCCAAATATGTAGTTCGAAGATTGAATTGAAGAGACAGAAGGACTCAACTAGGCTACCCATCATCTCCAACAACCTTCGCATGTCTGAAATACTTCATGCCCACCCAAGCCACAACCACCCACACCCACGCCATTACAGCGGTCAGCACCATCAACGCAGGATAGTAGCCCACAATCGGCAATGTCGGATCGTCCTCCAGCTCCGGCGGCGCGTACGGCGTCTCGCCAACATCCCACGCCCAGCTCCACACGCCAAGGCACGATCCCATGCCTACGACGAAGACGATCCACGTCACGACCAGCACCACCCAGCCCCACCATTCCGTCTCGCTGTAGTCCCATTCCTCTTCTAGCGCCATGGCGGAGGGTGTGTGTACCATCGCGAGCGAGGATCCGTGGCTGCCTTTGTTGGAGCGGCGCCGTTGGAGAGAGGAGGATTGGTTGGGGGGCTGCAGTTGTACGCCGAGGTAGGACGAGTTGTTTCCGGCGAGCGCAGGCCGCGAGAAGGAGAGGCCTTCGTCGTCGTCTGTGGTAGATGCGTATGGGCCGACGGGGCTTGTGAGGGGCGATGCGAGTGCGCGGGGAGTCGGGTGGCCGTCTTGGGAGAGGTTGCTGTCGGTGCTGGCGGTGCTGGCGGTGCTGGCGGTGCTGGCGGTGCTGGCGGTGCTGGCGGTGCTGGCGGTGCTGAGGGAGAGCTTCTGCAACGGCATCCAGCCGCTGTCTGACGAAGAGGCGTGCGACGGGTTCTCGTAGCTGAAGCGGCGCGGTGTCGTCTCCTCGTCGGGCGAAGTTGGGCTCATGTCACCGCCGGAGTCGACGACGTGCTTAGAGGGGGACTTCTTCTGGTCCAGAATCGAGTTCCGGCGCTCACGCAGCTTCCCCGTCCCCAGTATCGCCGTCTTCCTCAATGACCCCTTGCGCTTTCGTCCTTTATTCTGCCGCATTGCATTCGCCATAGCTGAGGTTTTCTTGGGGCCCTCGTCATTCTTCTCCGTGTCGGACGGGTCGTCCTCTCGCTTCGGCGGTGGCATCGGAGGCAGGTCCTCGGTGGATGCGCGTAGGAACAGTGGAAGCTTCCCAAGGATGCTCCCAGATAGACTTCTCTTGTGGGACTTGGGGCCAGCATCGCTGGCGGTGGCACTTGTTTTGGGAGCTGCCTTTACGTTGGTCCGCGCGGCAGGAGGACGACCATCGCCGCCGTTTGCTTTTGCGGCATGTCCATTTTCCATGCTCTTGGTCTTCCGAACCCATCCGGCCGAGGCAATGGCTACCGGATTTTTGTCATCATAGGATGGATGCTATTGGGGGTGGGGGGGTTTTTCGCTGGGGAAGCGCGGAGGTGAAGGGTGGGAGTGCGGAGGACGTCGCGTCTGAACTTGTACACTAAGCGTCCCTCGTCTTAGCTAGAATGCTCTCCAGATAGTTAATGAGATTACTACGTCGCAAAATATCCGCATGCGCACATCACCATTCCGAGATCCAGGCCTAGCCGCGATAGAAGTACACAACCATCCCAGCTAAAAACTAGCCACAGGCAATATAAGGGGACTGGGTCATCGTTCATTCTCTTATATACAGCGCTCATGAGGTGTCCGTCAGTCGCAACCCCCAAAGACGCCTAAACACCCCGTCCAGTCCGTCCATCCATCCATAAACCGTGGGGATATCAAGAACCTTTTGCCCTCCCAGACCCGGAGCCATCAATCTCGGCCTATTTCTTGGTGGTGAAGTCGGTCTCGAGACTCGATGCGGCACCTTTGTTCTCTTCGCCGGCACGGCCGCAGGTGCATGCGCCTTGGGCGCGTTGGTCTAGAGGACATATTTTCAGAACTGGTTACACAATCGGAGGGGTAAAAGCAGTCGAGGTGGGCAGAGTCAGATGAGGAGGAAAACATACTGCATGAGCATCTCGCGCCCGAGACTGTGTTCTCAGTAGACGACTTCTCGCAGTCGCAGTGCAGCGCAGACTTCTTGCCGCACGAGCAGGTCGCCTCCTTCGCACAAGCGCATCCATCTCCAGAAGAGCGGCCGCAGCAGGTCGACGGGACAGTGCCAGTTGGAGCAGACATGGTGAAGGTTGTGGGGTTGTTGGGGTTTATAGGCAAATGTTGTAGTTGATAAAGTGAACTTGGTGAGATTGATCAAGCTGTTTGAGGATTGTTCGAGTGAGTGATTGTATTGGAGAAGGTATCGCAGTAAGAAAATGCTGCCTTTATAGCTATCTATCGTCGTCACACCTGGAGCTCACTATTCTTGGCCTAGGTGCCCCGGCCAATCAGAGGGCAGATATTACAAGTCAAAGGCCATCCTCACCTGACGGGTTTTGCCTCTGTCAAGGGTCTGCTAGCCGCACTATTCACGCAAATCGGCGCCGCGAATCAAAGGACTAGTATTTGTTACTCTATGCTTGACTTGGTTTGCCGTCTAAAGGTTTCCTGACAACTTATGTCCTGGTCAGATTTCCATCTCCGTCGAGCCAACATCATGTCCAGTTTTCAAGAGCACGTCGCCGAGCATCAGACAATCTCAATTAAATCAGATATCCACATTACACTTGAACATGCCGAGGCTCTTATTCTATAACCTGTTCAGAACTTGGGTAGACGTTTGAAGCACCACAGACACTGTCATGAGAAATAATGGTCCAGAATCCAGTAATGCAAGTCTGCCTCATTCAGCCACTGACTGCTCATTCGATGCCATGAAGGGCGCCAGTTCCGAATGCAGAGCCTCAACCCTCTTCTTCAACGGCGTATCCATAATATCAGCTCCGTGCTTCCAAAGCCCGCTGATGACAACCAGAACGTTCTTCCGGTCACGCTGCAATTGCACCCCAGCCGTTTCATTTCCTCCACTTTCAGCTGCAAATAGACTCCTCAGGGAATCCACCAAGGCCACATTGTCATGCTCGCCGGCTAAGAAAGAAGCTGCCCCTTCCGCAGACAATAGCATTAGCCCAAGCCCAAATATAGCCTCCGACCTGGCTTCCGCGAAGATCTGTTGCCGTGCAAGCCGTTTGAGAGGCTCGGCTAGGAGAGGCGTCTGGTACATGCGGTGAAGAAGCCCCAAATCCAGCGTCTGTGTGTTGATGAGACACTTCAGCATCGCGACTATAGCCTTTCCGACCTCCACGTTGACGGATTTCATGCTCGTGCTCGGCAATGGACCAGACGGTGCCAGCGACTGATTGGTCATGAACTCCAGTATTGTTGGTTGATGCGGCGGATCGGTCGGCGTAGTTAGGACCGCGTCCTGAACGATCTCTATAATGTACTGCTGGGTGTGTCTAGCATCATCGTCGACCATTTTACAGAGTATAGCAGCTCCTTCGCCGCGGACAGCGGGCGAGGGATTGAGGAGCAGGCGGCAGGAAGAATTGATGAGTCCTGCATTTCCAAGGCGCTCGCGATTGTGTCTAGGGAAAGTAAGATGTCGTAAGAGACCTGCGGTCACGTGGAGAAGTGCAGATTCCTGGCTTGTTGATAGGATCCTGATCGGTGGCCGATGCAAGTCCATATTGACCATTTCAATGCAGACGGCGTCTGAGATGGCTAGGTTGCCCAGAATTGTACACGCGCAGATAGTCGATGGAGCTAGTAAGCTTAAGTCCTTTTCTAAGGATAGTGAGAGCACCTTAGACGTGACTTTCTTCATGAATGCGCTTTGCAAGTCATATGTTCTGCTGAAAGCCTCCGTTGCAGATATCGCGCAGATACCATTGATTAGAAGCCGGGTACTTCTGAAGGAGGACTCTTCATCCTGCTTGTCGAGCGGGTGGTTAAGCGCCTGATACAGGGCCCGTTGGGCTGCTGGGTCAAATGGTTCGGTTTCCCAAAGGATATTGAGCAACCTTTCTGCTTCCGATGGTGGCAATTTTAACAACAAGTCGTTGTTCGACAAGTAGGGAGCACAGAGTTCAAGGATTTGATCGATGGGTAACCTAGCTGGATGAGTTTCAACAGAAGCTGTGGGAGGCAAGATCGCATCTAAAAGCTGACTGAGTGTGGATAACGAGGTGTCGTCAACAAGCTCGGGAGCCGACAGTGACTCCGAAGTCAAGGCGATGAGCTCCCCTGCAGTGTCGATGCCGCTTTCAGGAATCCTGTTGCAGGCAATGTGGTTGGCGACGATATTGTCAAGCCTCAACTTAGCCGCTCGATTTTCTCCAGGAGGATAGTCGTAGCAGAGGTTGAATATGGCGCCGAGGGCCGTTATAGTCAGCTCTTCTACCCAAATGCAGTTGATGAGACTCTCCAAAGCTTCGAGAGCGACTGAACGATTCGTGTCATTGTCAGCAACAGAGTTGCCAATAACTCGCAAATGCTGCTTCGCTAGGCTGGCTGTGGTTCCGGATTTAACTTTTTGAAGAGAGTACTCTAGGATACCCGTCGTGCGGTAGGCGTCCCGCCAGATATCATTTTTTCCTGCTTTCGTCCCCAAAGACTCCAGAGCATGATGGCAGATACCGGTAAGACCTTGCTTCTCGAATTCCTCCAATCTCTTCGGGATAGCTTCGAGACCCTGATTGCTCGCCCAAGAAACGTCCGAGAGGCGTTGATTTAGAACGTCCAGGAAGTCTTCCGGGCTGCCATCTCCAGATTCCATGATGAGTGCATCAATATTGACAGGCTGTTGGAACTCGGTGAGCCACCTTCGGCGGCGGTGTCGAGGGAAGAAGGGTAAGAGCAGGTTTGGAATTCCTGGACGACTCCACGAACCTTCAAACTCGTAGATCCCGCTGTTTGAGGTGCCTGTTAAGCTCAAACACTATTGAAAAGATTTTATTTACGATTTTTGCAAATACTTCGAAGAACTTCAGACCGCGGTAGGAGAGTGTACACGATTTTATTTCCAACCTCGAACATTCATTAATCTGATTGGACAGCACCACAATTACATAAGCGATATTTTTGAGCCCAAGAGATATGTCTCGACGCGACACCATCTCGAATCCCAATCTACAATTCCAGCTTATCCTGTGCTACAACCCAGATATCACGCATAAATTCCAGCCCACCAAAATGACACGCGCCCAGCAAACAATCTCCATAGCTCTCCTCCTCTCTTCTGTACGGCCCCTATCCCCACGTACACTCATGCCACATAACTAACAAACCCATAGCTCTACCTCACCTGCTTCCTCGGCTTCGTACCCTTCTCCCCCAAAATCCAGGACGAGATAATTCCAGTGGTACGAAAACCCCTCCCAACACCTTCCTGTGGACCTGGGAAATACATGTGCTAATGCGACGGGGTATTCTTAGTTGCCTTTCTGGAGCCTGGTCTCGTTCGGCTCGTACCTCCTGTTTAAGCTTGGATACGGCGTGTTTACGTTCAATGATGTGCCTGAGGCGCATAAGGAGTTGATGGCGGAGATTGAGCTGGCGAGGGTGGATTTGAAGGCGAAGGGGGTGGATGTGGGGAATGATTAGGGGATCAGGGATACTGGGTAGAGATGTGATACGGGGGAATTTGGGGATGGGAGGGAGAGCGATGTTTGAGTGCACTTAGCGGACTGAAGAGGATAAGCAGGGCATAAGAGCACCCAGATGGCTAAGGACTGCGTGGGTCAGGCATAAGAAGAGCTCTACGCGGATATCCGAGGCTCCCAATACCCAGCAACGCATTATACGAAGAGTCACAATCAAGCATGTTCATTCTCCACTGCAACTACAAAGTTGATTCTAAGGTCTAAAAATGTACGTATCCAATATTCAAGATGCAACTAACCCACACTCCCTTCCTGTAAATGCTTCAGCTTCAACTTCTTCTCAGTCCTCATGAACTCTCTTATGCCAACGGGTATATCGCCAAACAAGTCCTCCTTGCCCGTCCCTAGCTGCGCGCTCCAATTCGCCTCACTCCCGCCGCCATCATCGTCCATGCTAGTTGCTACGTGTTGCGGCGTGCCCTCCGGCGCGACCATCATGCCTGTACCCTCTCCACGAACTCGCTTTGCTTGCAATGCGGCCCTCGCCTCTTGACTCTTAGCAGCCCATTCCTCCAAGTCGTCACGGTATACATCCCACACGCAGTTCACACAGCCAGACATGCAGCAGTTGTCCGGTTGCGCAGGCCGCGGCGGGACCCTAACCCCCCCTATGACTACGGACGAAGCTTCTCTGTCCGCTTGATGCTCCGCCGGGCCAGCCAGACGCGAACCAAACACTATGCGTGCTTTTGCGAGGGTCTCTTCCTTCTGCGTTGTGGGGAGGGACTCAGCGGGTGGCGGGGTCGGAGCGGCTCGGGTCGCAGATTGAACCTTTGCATGGGGTTGCGATATGAGATCTAAATCATGGTGAGTATCTAGAGCGTTTCCGGGGTGCTGAAGCTAGCGTACCTGCATAGAAACCTTGGATGGGGTTGGCCTGGCTGCCCGGTTCGGCGATATAGCCTTTGTAGCGGCGGCGTATCCGGTCGCTGTTTTGAAGGCCTATGCTTCTGGATGCAATGCTTGGCCGTGATTTGCTCATAGACGGCAGACATGAGGGGCAGGTGAAGCAGCGGAGAGCCCGCGGGGGTGCCATGCGGAGGGACTGGTATCCGCACCTCGGTCCTGTGAAGGATGGGGCGAAGTCTCATGGGTCGTGATGAGTTCTATTTGAAGTACAAAGCTTCCATCTGAAGCTTAAGCATATCGCTGGAGTAACAAAACGAAGTGGCGCAACGCAATGGTGAATGGCGGAGGAAAAGAAATCAAGGTGAAAGCTTCAAGCGTCATTCGCGCTCGGGCCGATCTCCGATTGATCTCCCCGGCAAGCCCACCCGAAACATCAACACCACAACGCGTCTCCCTCTGTCACGACCTCGCGCGTCAACCTACACTTCGCCTCTATTTTCTACGATTCTGTCGCGCATAACAGACTACCCTGCGACTATGGATCCGCGATCTCCCAAAAGACGGAAAACCACTCCTCCCGACGCAAACACGACAGACAACCCTGCGAGGACTCCAACACGCGCTTCATTCCTATCGCCAACCAAAGCCAGCTTGGCACGCTTCAATCCCGGGCTATTGCCTCGCGCTGGGTCAGAGAGGAGATCGAAGAGCCGCGGCGCTTCAATTGGTTACCAGGCGGAAGCAGTCAATACGAATGAGCAAACCCAAGTAAATGCGGGCGCGCAAGCTGGAACACCAGTGCGGGAGGAAGAGGATGGCCTCCCACTTGCTTCAAACGAAGTGAGTGTGCGAGAGACAGGTCAGGGGGTACTGTACTCGTCACCGAGCAAGCGACCCCGGAGAGGAAGGGCTACCTCCCCGTTGCGACCGAAGGCTCCCCCGCCGATGAATACGGATGATACGATTATGACGGATGCGCCTCTGGAGGGAGATACACAGCTTCAATCAGAGGGTGGGCAGCAGGAGGTGGCAGCGGGGGCGGCAGCGGGGGCACTGGTGGAGGCGGCACCAGTGGATCCTGAAATAGGAAAGAAGAAGCAAGAGAAGGAGCGATTGGAACGTGAGATGGACGCGTTGCAGGAAGAGGTCAGCCAATATGAACGTGCTGTGGAGGTTAGTCGCAAATCGTCGTCAGGGGCACTCCCCGATGATTTCGGTTTCGACGAGTTGGTGTAAGTGTCATCTAATCTATAGATGCTTTACAGTAACTAACGAGCCCCTCAGATCCCTAATAAACAATACGGATGTGTCAGTCTCGGTGGCTGAAAACCCAAAAGCTGCGCCCATCTCTTTGCTTCTCTCTTCTTTCCTACCATTCTCAAAACCACCTCCGGCAACTACGGAGGTGTCTGCAGAGGATCTCGCCACACCGATTCCATCTCATGCCCCTCTAGATCTGGATGATCCGCTGCCGTACCTCCGATTGTTCACCCCTTTCACATACAAATCGCGGATTGACATCCCAAACACGCGAAGCGATATGTCCAATGCGTCAGACCTGTATCAAACCCACTCGATTGAGGTACTGGAACCTCGAAAGCTCCTAGCGGCCAAAATGAATATGACGATAGATGTCTCAAAGCAGAAACTTGTCAAGCTATCCATCACACACCTTTCCCAGTGGGCAGAACGAGAGCTAGGCACCTGGATCCGTGGGAAAGCGCGGGAAAAGGACCTGGGAGCGATTTCGTGGGCCCTTGGGTCTTTCTTGGATGTCGCTATCAGAAGAGCGGAATGCTGGCAAAAATGCCAGCACTTGCTTGAAGATGTCGCGAGCAGCGGAGGCAAAGCTCTCCCGGGAAAGCGAAAAGGGCGTCCAGCAACACGCGACATCGACAGTGATGAGGACGCTGAAGGCAGTACAGAAGAAGAGGATGCAGTTGCGGGCGTTGCTGCTGGCGGCGAGCAAGCCGAGAAGGGCAAAACCAAAATGAAGCGCAAAGCGAGAGTCTCCCGGAAACAATTGTTAACGCATCTTGGGAGAGAGTTGTTGATCTTTGAGTCTTCGGAGATCGTCCTTAAAATCGGTTGGGACATTGGCTTTGACTGGACTGGGGAGGCAAAGTCTATTGTGAAGGCTTCTGCTGCTTTTCCTAGAGTTTGTAAGTTCTCATGACTATTCGATACTGACATCTTGTGCTAATACATTTGCGATATAGGGCACGATGCAGATGCGAGGAACTCTTTAAAGAAGGTCCCAGCAACCTTCGATAATCTGGTCAGGGATCGAGGCGTTTACGAGAGTATTAAAGCGATGGTTGGGCTGCTATTTGCTTGAATCTATAGTGATACCCCAAGAGTAGCTTCAGAGCTGTATCAACACTGTTCAGAACGAGACTCGTGACGTACGTGATTCCTACCTCACTGCAATTCACATATATCGAATTCTCCAAAAACCCGCCCGCGTCCCCGGGACTCTTTGAGTCCCCACCTGGGTACCCTATCTCATCTCCCCCTAAGTCGCACCTCGCCACACGCATTTTCCGTCCCCAAGGGTGCACGTCGCTTTAAACTTATCGCCTTTCGACAAAGTGGCTCCGCAGCCCCCAGGCCCCGCTGCGGCCCGCACTTGGCGACAGCTCCGAGTGCAATCACATCGCGGGAATCACTTCTCAAGGAGCTCCGGGGCAGTGAACCGGGCTTCTGGAATTGGGGTTGCATCGCCCACATAGAAATCAACAAGCTAACTAGATAGACTTCACAGCGCGAGATGAGCTAGCTGTGTCCACAAGGTGTCGCCGAGCACATCCCAGCCCCATCGTTACTCCGTCTCCGCGCACGCGACTTGGCGTAATCGAACCTCAACACCATCCAGGGTAGCCTCAGTGATGGCGCCAATAAGCGTTTCAAACCAGATGCATCGCTGGCCAATACGAGGCCGAGAGGAATGCTGGGGTAGCAAGGGCCGATTCGGGGAATGGCTGAAACGAGGCTGAGATGAATACTTGCCGAGTGCGCGGACGTGTTTTTCGATGCTACGGTACATACCTGGTGAGGAGATGAAATTGCGCTGCCTGAGGTGGGCGCTCGAGATCTAATTTTAGGATGGAGATGTGCAGGTGGAATCAGTATGCGCAGACACATAGGCCTTTGTGTATGCAGCAATCTTAAGAGAGCCTGTCGAGATCGCGGAGTCTCAGGGCCAAGATATCTAGCGAGTATACTGGTGATGAAGTTGACAACAACACCGAATATGGGACTGACAGACGCGCTTACAAGTTACTACCAGTGTTCAGAAGCTGGGCATCGTAGAGGACGAACTCAAAGCACAAGCAATAGCTCGCAAGTAGCTGCGAAGCCATCCACTTGGCGTAAATCTCAATGATCAAACCAAGTTTTGATGGACTCGGAGGTGCATTAACAGCACAAATACACCATAAAATGTACACAAGCAACTTGGGCTCCCAGTAGCCAAGCAGCCATGCAAAAGGATTCTCTGCCAAGCCATGGCTCAACTTGCTGCGTTCACTGAGCGACCTTACATCCCATGCAAGCCTTGGCAGGTACTGCGCCCCAAACACCATCAGCATCAACATAAATCTAGGCCAGGACGCGCCTACAATCCCGACGACGAAGGATCTACCAAGGTTCCTTTTGCCCTTTTACTGGATGGAGGTGAATGGTAGGGATGGGTACCCAAAATAACATCTATGTTTCGAATGAGGGAAATATCTGTAGACAGGCAGTACTGTTGGAAATGATGGGATGATGAGAGCAGCGCAGGGGAAAGCATTCTCTCGCTGGATATAGTCATCTGACGAAGGGTAGAGGAGAGCGAGTAGTCCGTGGGCGAGTACTTAAGAGGTTGAAGTTTCGCAGTATTGTTATCTTCAATTCGACATCCCGCTTTCAATCTCCTTGTCAATCTCTTCATCAATTTGTTTCCCTATCGTTTCTAGCCATCAAGCTCTTAAACTGCTAATTCAATCCCATTTCAACACTCCTTCCGACCAAGATGTACAAATTCACAGGCTTCAGCGCTATTACGCTTCTCCTCCCTCTTGTCCACTCCGCCGTCCTTCCCGCCAAGGTTGTCCCTCGAGAAGACGTCCACGTCGACGTAATCCGCATGATGAAATGCGCGGCATTGTTCGACATAAAGCCAGAGGGGGGCTGGGAGCAGGGCATGGCCGGATGGTGGGTGCATGAAAGCGATACAGGCGCCCCAGCGGATATGGCCATCTTCGACTTGGTAAGATCTCCTGAGCAGGGAAGAAAGACCTCGTTACCTGACTGACCTTGTGTACAGCATTCGGCAGAGCTCGACTTTTTTTACACCGACCCTAACAAACACTACGAGGCCAAGTCCAATGCCGGAACGGACTTTGTTATCGACACCGTAGATCCCGGCGACCCAAATCCTCCAAATGGGCCCGACGGCGTCTGGGTCGGCCATGCCGTGTTTGGCAGCAGCTCTTACAACTGCCTGACCGACAAACTATACACGTACGAGGACGCGAAATATGGCACCTGCAACAGCTACGTACGCTGCCTGCAGAAGGACGCGCTCAAAGTCTCCGTCTCCGCCTCCAACGACACGATCCGTGTCGAAGACCTCCCGCCCGCCAACGAGATCTACGCCCATCTCACCGAGCGCTTCAACACTGACTCGCACATCTGCGACACCACGCCCGTCGACCTCGGCACCTCCCAGAACTGCAAGGTCCATTTCGACTGCAACGACAACGACATCAACGCCGCCGTGCTCCCCATACTGCGCACGCAAATGGACAAGTTCGGCTCGACGTCCATGTTTGTCACAGAGGTGATCACAGACAGCGAAATCAACGCGGGATGCTCGCCGGCGTGCTATAACGACGTGACGCGAACCTACCGCACGATGCCGACGTTCACGAAGATCATCGCGCGCGGCGTCCCGCAGGATGACTCGAGGCTCGGGTACGAAGTCGCGAGTATCGAGGCGCACATTACGTGCGATCCGGATCCAGGGAATGCGGGCGTGTGCAGTGCGCTCGGCTCGGTGTTTAGCATTGGGGCCTTGATTCCTGATGGGCTGGATAAGGTGTTTGGGTTTGCGGGGGCGGCACTGGATACCGCGTGTAGTGCTACTGGGGATGATGATTAGTTCGGCGATGAGCGTTTTCGATTGCTTTTGTGTAAACATGTTGGATTTTGTGGATAAAAGCGGCGAAAGCGTCCACGCGGAGTTGGGAAATATGCTGAGTCAGCACGCTAGATTTGATTCCTCTGGAGTGACTTCACCTCGTCTACTGCATCCTCAAAAGTGCATTTGCGACCACCCAAATCTACGCCCTCGAGGATTTAACATCGTATTCTGATGTTTCATGATGTGATGGAGCACCTGTGACAGTGGCAAGCATGTGTGATAAAGCTTTTCCATAATGCTAATATACAGTGCTTAGAAATAAGAAGCCAAACCGCAGTTAATTTCATCCGGGGACAGCTACCCGAATTCTCTCCATCCTATATCTCATCGCGACGCTTTCGGAACTGCTACCCTACATGGGGAGTCGAAGACTCTCTGACGCTGCGACACTACCAGCAAAAGGGACAGGAAAAGTATGCAAAATGAGAAGGAGAGTCAAAACCAGACCAGAAACAGCAACCAAAAGAAAGAGACCCAAAATCAGACCACAAACACTTCCAAACTGACACCACTTTTGACCCTCCGAGACGTCTCCTGCGCCTCCATCATCATCCTCAAATCTTTTACTTCTCCGACTCAATATCGAGCTCCTTGGCGGCATCCAGCCAGTCGAGGGCCGCACAGAGCCTTGCGAGCTTCCTCCTACAGTCCGTACCCGAAGTCATGTAATTGACCCAGTCCTCATCACCATACGAATGGCGCACAGTGTAGTCCTCCAGCTCTTTCCGGAAGGCTGCAGGATCCTTCCTCCGTTCCGCCAATTTGGCCTGCAGGTTCTCGCACGACACAGACAGGTAGCTCTCCTCTCGGAGCTTCTCATGGACCTTCGGCTGGGGAGTGACATCATCTCTGAGGATAAAGCTGACGAGATTGATTCCTTTGGCGGTCTTGCAGTAGGCGGGAGTCGCCCAGTCGAAGCCTCGCGCAAGGAGCTCCCTGGACATGCCTGGCTTGCCGACCTTGAGCCAGGTTTGCTTTGTGTTGATGGTCTTCTTGAAGGGCTTGGCGATGCTTTGGACACTGGAGGAGGGTTTCGGGGTTGTGGCCTTGCGCTTGGTGATGCCCTGCGGCTTGGAGGAGGGGTTCTGGGCTGGGACCTTGCGCTTGATGATGGCCTGCGTCTTGGAGGCGGGCTTCTGGGCTGGGACCTTGCGCGCCGGAGATGGGGACTTGGAGCTGCGCCTGGACGGTGAGTCGCTGCGGTGGATGGGAGAGCTGGGCTTGCAATGCTTCCGCGATGCCGCATCCTTCATCTCGTCTCCCGTCTCTCCAACCTTCTCGTCTCTCTTCTTTCCAGCCTCTCCCTTTGTCTTCTCTCCTCCATTCATCTTCTCCGCAATCTTCGTCTTCGTGGCTGCGCGCTTCTCCTCCTCCTTCTTGCGCGCATATCGCTCCCGGCACTTCTTGTTCCGCTCCTGCCTCTTCTTCTCGTCCTCTTCATCCATCCGCTTGCGGTCCTTGGCGTCTTCGATTTCCTGCTCAAGCCGGGAGAAGTGGCGCGCGTCGGCCCCGTTCTTGATCTTCGGACGCTTGGGGGGAGGTGAAGCGTTGCGGCGAGCGACTCGCTGCGGCTTCATCGCGAAGATGGCGTCGCGGACTTTGGAGGCGTCCGGAGGGGAGTCGGAGGTCTTGCGCTTCACGCCGGCAACAGCAGAGTCTGGGCTGGCCTCGGAGGCGGTGGCGGCAGCGGGCTTGGGAGGAGTGGAGGTCGGGGTGGTGGATGGAGACATTTTGACTGGTATGGTGACGTTGCGAGAGGTGAATGATGTGTTTTGAGGCTGTACAGGAAGAAATGCTACGTGGTGTGATGTGTGTAGTCAAGCGCTGCAAATCTGTCTGTGTGTGTAGGTTGAAGGAAAAAAGAAGGTCGAGTCTGGAATCGTCGACGCTTTTGGTCCCTCAGCGCTAGTGTGGCTATTGTTCGGTGGGAGAATGGGACACAATAGGCGTGCCCAGGTGAATAGCGGATAATAGGAATTTCACGGCTAGCGGTGGTTACAATACCTCTTCAGTTTGGGATCGTGCCTCATTCACCGCATATGCCAAGATCAGACGGCGTGAGGTCGAGACCTGCACAGATAGATATCTCTTCGGGGGCTTTTAGATATCATGAGAGTCACATCACCAATAGGGATATACCTCTGAAGGACCTCTTAGGATTTTGCAAGGTTGATATAGGTGATGTCATTTTCTAGACGCGCTGAATCAGGAGGAGCTATAGAGGATAGAATTGCAACGTAAATGAGATTGGATTCTTTTATGTAGGACTTCCTGATAGTAGAGAGCTCCAGCACATGCAATTTCACAGGCTGCACGCGCTGGATCAGACATGCCGATTCCACGCGTCTGAAATGCAATCGAAAGATTTCACATTGGAGGGTAACTAATTTTGATACATCTAGGGCGCTTCCAAGAACGTGTATAAATCCTAATATTCAGGGTGCGATTTCTGCCGTTGGATGCACCCTAGCTTCAGCTGCTTCCTCGGCAGCACGCATATGCAACACGACCGGAAGAAGCTCTCTCTGGAGTTCCGCTTCAACTTCTCTAACTCCTCTAACTTCTTTAACTTCTTCAACTCGTCCAACTTGTCCAACCTCTTCAACCTGTTGAGCTCCTCCAGCCTCCACGGCTTTCAACCGCACTTGCTCCTTCTTGGCTCGTCGTTGTTGCTTTTCGCGGGCTTTCCGTAAATTCTGCTCGTGGACAGGTCCCATTGGGGTACCTGGGTGTTCTGGCATTTGCGGCTGGACCGGCAACCAAGGATGTTTACGGGGCTTTTTCGACGCCGTGGCCTTCCCCTTCCCACGGGAGGGTGTTGACGCGCTGGAAGTACTAGCAGCGGAGCTCTCAGCCCCATCGTCACCCTCAACGTTGATAGCCGTATCCGGTGTGTTTCCCGCAGGGCTGTATGGAAGCATGACAGGTCCTAATGAGGGAAGCGACGCTGGAAATTGAGGATGATTGTACGAAACTTGGTTGTGGGAGTTGTTGTTATACGTGATGTCTGGGGCCGGAGCAGCAGCGAAGTTTGTGGGAAACGTTGCTTGAGCGTGAGGGGGATAATACACTTGGTTGTGGGAGTTGTTGTTATACATGATGTTCTGAACTGGAGGGAAGTCCGGGTAAGGCCCGGGGATGGTATGGTTACCAGCCCATGCGTCTTCCGTGGCGCCGCTGAAGAACTGAGGAGGACCTGGTGCGCCTGCAGGACTGGGCGGAAGGGTGCAATTCCCCATATCAAGCGCCTGATGGTTGTAGAAAGGTTGGGGTACGCCTGGCATCGGGACGGAGAGATTGGGGTCGTTGCTATAGGCAGGATGTCCCCAAGTCTGCTGTTGATTTCCCATGCTGTGAGGCTGAAAGGGGGGTTGATCTGAGAATGCCTGAAGAGGCGGTTGATGTGTGGGGAAAGGTATCGGCTGCAAAGTATGCGCTTCCGGATGCGTAAAGGACCAGCGCCTGAGACTTCGCTGACCATTATGGGAGGGTGCTGGAGCCGTTTCGGCGGTCGCAACAGCTTCGTCGTAAGGAGGAGGTGCGACAGAGACCGTATTAGGCGTATCGTTGTGGGGAGCATTTTCTATGCCTAAAGTTGGGCTTAGAGCCTGCTCCGAAGCGGCATCGATAAGATCCAAGGAAGGATCAGAGATGCGTTCGCTCTTGTCGTACGGGTCGTACTGGTTGATACCGCCAAAACTGAAGTCCGCGCTAGCAGCATCGGACTGAGGATTGGAGATGGGTTCGTTTGACTCGTGCTGGTCACCGTTTTCAAGGATGAAGTTTGTAGGGCCAGTATGAACGGAAGGATCGAAGTTGAAATAGCTCATGTCAAACTGGTCGACGGCGTCGAAAATAGCGACGAAATTGCTGTCTACGTGGGTGGGCGTGTCGCGCCACTCGGTAGAATCGAGTTGCTCAGCGAGGTTTGCGTAACCAGGAGACTCCATGGCTCTGGGGGAGTTTTCGGTGGTCGGGTAAGTGTACTTAGAAGTGTATGTAGAAGTGCAGTCACAAGCGCAGCTAGTTAGAAAGTGTGGTGGTGAGTGTATGTGAGGGGGGCAGAGAGGGGAAATTCGAAAATGTATTCATATTGTACGGCAGCCAAGCGCTCACGATAGACTTTGGGACGTGGCCAGTAGCATTAAGGAGGGTCAACCTTGGGTCTCGCAACAGAGCGCTTCGACTTGGCATACACGCACCATCATGCTACCTGCAGAGCTTGCGCCTCGATCCATGGTTGTAATGAAAGAGCGAAGGGAGCCTGCCGAAGCTTTCTCATTGCTATCAATTATCTTATGGTGTCGGGAGTGTCGACATTATGATCTTTACCTAAGGTCCTAGGGGAAGGCGACATAGCAGACATCAGTAGGAAATCCGTGGGGATAGCAGGGCCATGAAAGACACTGTAAGTTAATGATCATAGCAGAGTACGTTGACGATAGCATCCATCCCCTTTCTGGTAACCCGTTTCCGTTGGCTTCTCGAATTGTTGACGACCTTGGTACTCTGAACCACGTTAGCATAAGACGCGGTTAGATGCACGCGATGAATGAAAATAAACAGCTCAATGAGCCAGCCATCCTCCAAGTGACCAGTGACACGTCTCGCCTTTTAATTCAACCCTTCTGGAATCTTCGAGGTTGGCTTTTCTCTCATCGACTTTTGGGCCAGCGACCGCTCCTCACCCCTTTCACGACGTAGTCACAGTGCCCCTCTTAGCTATCTTAGGACGACGATGCTGCACACAGTCGTCCGCAAAAACCTTCTCGAGGAGGTCGACATCATCGCAGAGATCGTTAATGGGCCTTCCACCACCTCTAAGATGGCAGACCTCCTCACTCCTGCTCTTTCGCCTTCCATCACATCCGACACGGTAATCAACCTTCCCCTAACAAGCTACACCCCTCTCTTCATCCCCGCGACGGAAAGGCGCTATGCTGTTACATCCTCGCGCAGGGTGCCAGGGATCAACATCGTTCTCGAGCTTCTCCAGTTCCTCGCAAAGATACATAATTTCGGGTATCCAGCCGCGCCGCAGGTTAGACCCACCAGCAGCATCTCAAGGACGAAAGGTGAGGAGAGCGAGCAACTCCTGTGGTATCGCTGAAAGCATGATTGGGAGGTTCTTTCGTGCGGTTCCTGGATCGGGGAATACGGGAATTTGATACTAGAGATCAGATGTTCTCGAAACTTTTCGGAGGCATGATTCTGCACGAAACCTTGGAAGGATCTCGTCGACATCGAGTCCGCTACGAATACCGACATCGCCGTCAAGGGGAGGGAAACTCCATCAGTCAGAGATGGCGAGATGGCAAAATGGCAGGGAGAGCTACATCTCGACCTCCGCAGCACCATTAGACCGGCCGTTTCGGAAACACCCACGACTATCGCGCACGATCGTCTGAAAACTCTCCGCATCTCATTTTGGTCCAGGACTGACAGCGAGGGTAGCACACACCGCTACGCCGGGCGCAAGCGTGATACCTTCCTGCGAGCGCCGCGAGTCCCGACTCGACAAACCCGACCGGGAGTTCGAGATCGGAGACTTAGTATTAGGAATCGGGTGAGTTCCCTCCACGGTTACTGGTACCGCACGATGGCTAACATCGACACCCTTGGAGACAACGTCCAGACGCCCCGTCACCCCGATTGATACATCTTCCACCTCTTCGTTTTACCTCTCGCCATTTCCATATCACATTTGAAAGAAAGTTCTATCTAGTAACGGCGTAGCTATATAAGAGGATTCGACAATACATGGTGATTCTATTGACACCTGGGGGACGCTGGCTGGGAGGCTTTCGAGTGGCGTAAGGAGCTGGATGGATTGTAAGGTTTGACAACTTGAGGATGGAGCGACGGAAACAGGAGTATGCAAGAGGGCCACAGGGGTTGACGCCAATAGGGATGCGGAATAGACAGGAGAATGAGAAACGCGCAACATGCCCTGAGGCGAAAAGCAGGGCAATTTACAAGGTGAGAAAGCGAAGGAAGCGAGACAGCATTTGAGATTCAATATAGTATGAGAACATGATCTGGCAGGCAAAGCATGGCACTGGTCAGCCCTGGAAACATCTCACGGAGCAGCGAGTGATAACACGTGATATGGAAGCTTCGGAGATAGGTATTAGGTATCTCTTCTGCTACTCTAATCACATGGCCATCACTTCCATATTCCCTCCCATCACAGCAGACTGCTGAAAAGCATCTAGTAAACCGCATCAAGATGACAGACAGTTTAAGCGTGCACAAACACGTTCACATTCACGCCCGCATCTTTGCACAGCCATCTCGTCTGGCAGCATCTCGTAACCACCGCATCCTCACTCCTCCCAAAGGCCTGGAAAGCATAAACACTTCCTTCGCACTCGCACACAGCCTCCGCCTCTGAGTAACGCGATACCTCAGACCTGTCAAGTCGTCCCCAAGGGAGCCGTTATGGCGTAACCTCAATGTGTCGCGCACCGCGGGCTTCCGACTGGCAACAACTCACTTCTCAACCTCACCGTCACTCACAACTCTAACTCCAGCCACCTCGCAACACGAACGGAGTACCCGCGAGCGAACCCGGCCGATTCGTGCCCGCATAGCACGGCCAGCAGATTAGACCTGGACCCAGCCCCTCGCACCACGTTCCACGGGCCGGACAGAGGCGCAGACACAGATGCAGAACCACCCGCTATCTGCGGTGCGATCGCGCAAGCGCTATAGGTTGGGATGCGAGGCGCTGGATTGGGTGGGCTGAAGAGGCTAGGGTGGAGGAGTGGCGGGGCGATGATGAGATTTCAAGGTTGGACAAGGGGGCTTGAGCGCTGTATTGTGGCACGGGAGGGTACAGAGAGTGCATGGAGAGGGGCCTGGACGTGCTGTTTCTACACCCGGAACACTCGGGTGAGTCCTCCGAGGTGGTGGCTGGCTTGTGGGACGTTTGCTACAGCGGCTCAAGAGATGGCGGATGCCTAAGAGGCCGGGGTTCTCGAGTCCAGATCCGCGACGTGGTACGAGAGCGAAGGAGGAAAGAAAATGCGATGTGATGCAGAGAGACAAAAGGAAAGCAACAGCATGCATGACTCGCAACTCGGCGCGGATGTGTATGCGCACAATGTGGTGCGCGTGTCGCATGTCAGAATTGCCATGTGGAGAGACTCGTCTTGACAGGTTCTGCAGCGCAGGACGTCGCTGGCTCGAGTCTCACACGCGAGGCACGAGAATGGAAGCCAGTATGTACCGAGATGGAGCACGATGCGCGAAGAGATGGAACGAGGGAGGAGAGGGCAGGCCGATGGAACATCCGATGGCTGATGCAGCTAGGGGTTTCCATCCGTCGAGAAGCACACCACATTGTCGTCGGCGGCGTCGAAATGGTTCGAGGGCCAGGCACGAGACGAACAACCCACAACTCGGTAGCTCTGCTTGGACGAGGAGGCCGCAAATACGGCCCTCGACTACCGACGACGAGAGGAGGTGTCCCGTAAGGCTGAGAGGGAGTGAATTGTGGCGCTGGCAGTCCGACGTGGAGAGCAGCAGCCAAAGGGCCGCTGTGTCACGTCGCACATCACATGCAGCGATCCCAAGCATCCCCATTCTCGCGTTTTCCTTGCACCGTGGTGAAGCGTCTGCGCATCAGACGACCGGGCTCATGAGGGAAAGCAGACTTCTTGCCGAGCCGTGTTCATGCGCTGCCATCCGGAGGTTTCAGCTCGGTCGACGATCCTCGCCTCTAGGACACATCTTGCTTGCAGGCTTCCAAGACAGTGCGGTGTGAAGCGCATTGCAGCAGCCTCGGAGCCTTGAGACAGGCGTTCTCGTGGTTGACGGTCGACTTGTCCTGTCGCAGATGGATTCGCGGCTTGGCTGGGTGGTCGAAACATCGCCCTGCGTTATGGCATCCGAGTACGCACGGTCAGGTGAGAACTGTGCGAGAGCTGAACAGTAGTTGCACGATTGCTGGATTTTGCGATCAAGACACAGTGCAGCCTAGGAGGCGAACCGTGGACAGTGAGCAGCACGTGTTGGGCGCCGATTCTGCCACGAATCTACATAGCAGCGGAGTACAAATAAGTGAAGAATGTTTGTGAGTCGGGATATGTAGCGTAGAGATATGAGAAGGCATTAGTGGGAGGAAGTATATCATGAATAGTCACGTGATCTATACAATCCTATCGACATTATTGGTCGAGCTGGTGATGGCCCAAGCAGGTATAGCGCCACTCTTCGCCACTTCCGCGTCGCGATTTCAACTCCAGCGACCACAACAACCGCAAAAGACAATGGACACTCTGATCCTATTCCAGCAATGATTACAGGGTCTACTCTTCGATGTCCAATTTATCCTCCTTGGATCTTGACAGAGAGCGCCTCACTTAGATCATACAGCACCACTTCCTGGGAGTCAAAGCCGAGAGCGTACACCTTTACGGATTGCGCTGCAACATCTGCATCCTCTACATTTGTAGCAGTATCCTCCCTTTTCATTTCACCAATCTGCTATGTTCGAGTTAAACACGCCCCTCGTTGGGCCGTAGCTACTACCTGCATACAGTCAGTGCCAAATCCTCTCCTCAGTCACAGCTTCTCAATCGACGTTTTGTACCAATATTTCTCGCTGTTTATATTTCCGCGTCTACCTAATCTATGGTAGCTATGCATCATGTAGCATTATCGACACCTGATGAACAGCATGTGTGCCCAGCACCGAGGCGACAATGTCATCAAAACGTGACGATGGTCGACTTCCTGTACTATCAACCTTCATATCTATTGTCGAAACCAGTCAGTCATGTTCGCACTCTTTCAAAAGCGGTCAGATGATTTATTCGCGTAGGGTGGTTTCCTCGAGACTGCAAGAATGTCGTTGACGACGAGATCACATGGAATGGCCGGCGACGGCTCCCCGCCCGTGAAGCTTGCAGACTGCGAACCACAACATGATGGTGCTTGACGATGCCACTCAGTCGATGACAAGGTCGAAGAGGGCTATGTTCAACTACCCTGAAGCACGTCGACTGGCTACAACCTGGTGCTTTACCTACGAGTATGCGTCATCAAAACGACACCGAGAACTTTGCTGAGCCTAGAATAGGCCTGTTTCATGTTTCAAGAAAAGTCGGCTTTGCGCCACCGAACTTGGTGAATACGACGATCTCAGCATACCTGACCAATAATGCGACTTTGAATGAGTACTCCGCCGTCGGATGGAAGCCTCGAGACGATGACTACAATCTCAGCACCGCACTCATCCCTGGGCTTCCGATATAGATAGCCTGAGCCATGTTTAGATCGGCCTACGATGCAGTGAACCAAGGTTCAGAATTCAACCGGCCTACCATGGTACATTTCGAAACGAACCCCGTCTGGCCTTTTTCTGCACGTCAGAGGTCCCGGCCCCCCATGGATCCGGTCAATCGTGGAAGCAGTGATGAATGACAGAGCGATCGTGGATCCAACGAGTTCATGAAACCATCACTGTTGCTTAAAGAATAATGTCCCTGAACTAAGACTGTACTCAACTCTGGGATCTTCTGCACGAGACAGCCGACATCTCACCCGCATTGCGACAGCGAGTTCCGAAGGATTACGCCCACCTTCTGTTCTTGTGGGAGAATCGTGCTCTGTGCATCACAACTTTCAAGAACTGTTCTGTGTTACTGAGGACATTATTCCTTCCAATATGACCGTAGAGGCCGCAGCAAGAATGCACTTCTGCAGCCGGCGCAGGGCGGACCGCAGTACGGCCAGAGAGCGAATTAATTACCAGCGCCGACGTTCTAAGATGGGCGCTGCAGAACCGCTTATGCATGCTCGGTTTCAATAGCTGAACACGTCACGAATATCTATGCTGAACCGTGGATGCTATCGCGGGCGCTTGAGCAGGTAGGGCATCGAATGGTGCAAGATCGAGTGAGTTATCCCGCCAAATCCAGCCAGTTGGATCACCGATTCGCCAGGAAAGATAATTATGGCGGCCTGCATGAGTCCAACGACGCCCGCTATCTCGGAGAAAGGCTGGCTTGATAACGCTAAGTGGCCGTAAAAGGCGGCCAGTAGAAGCGCTGCGGCACAGCTGATTTGAGCAGCCTCGTTTCAGAATTCTGATGTGAGATTCTTAATATGTACCAGGCTTGACGATCCTAACCGCCGCTGCGCCGCGATTCCTGCTGCACGCATTCTTTGTGCCACACCCGATGGCGGAGTTGCTGTTGTTGGGGTGCATCCAACGCATAAACGCTCACGATGTTAAACGACGCCCACGAGGATCAAACAGCCAGCCTCACCACAGCCGCAGAGTCGAGAGAGAGATCTGAAGTGCGGCGGAGGGGGCGGTGTGACGGCTATTTGCACGACATCCCGATGCATACTCCAATCAGCGTGCTAGGGCGGGGCATGGCGGTTGTTGTGAGACGGCCTCTGCATCGCAGCAACACCATTGTGCCATCGGACACCAACGGCGGCTGGCGATGCCATGGCGGGAATCGTTGCCCCAGTCGTCGCGACGATCGCAGTGCCTGTCCTCCGGAGGGGCCTTCCAGAACCCTCTGGACGACGATGATCGCGGCTGGCACAGCTGGGCTGGCACACACGAAGGAGGCAGGATGTTGCAGCTCACGCACTGCCCAGCCACCAACCGATGGCCGTCGATGCATGGCTGACACCAGCGCTGATTGGTGCGCGAGACGCAGGTGAGGTCGCTGTTAGACTTTGAGCGGGCATGCAAGAGTCAGGCTGGTACAGGACTTCATCACGATGGCGGGGTCTCGAATGGAGGGGCAGGGTTGGTATCGATAAGACAGGCCAGTGTGGAGACGAGAGTCGAAAGCGCAAGAACTGCCGCGTGTTCGACTGCCCGCTAGTTCGCTGGTGCGGTTGGGGATGTTGGGCGGGAGCTGAGCGGTGAGTGTGACACGGCGGCTAGTCGTAGCCAAGTGCTGGAGAACCATAGCGAGAGGTTGGGCGTTGCAGCCAGCCCCAGCCTACCTTCGAGTCTTTGGGCTAACAGAGTCGATAGTGATCAGGGTGTCACGCAGCTTCACGTGGCTGGAATGGACAGTCTCCTGCAATGTTACTCGTTGTCGCCGTTGGCGGTTGCTTGCAGTGGCCGGGCCCTTCAAGAGTGGTCCGGTATCAAAAGCCTCAGCCCCATTTACGCATCGCAGAAATAGCATCTTGCAGACCACGGGTGAAGGCTTCTGCCCGTCACAAGCCGGCACAGCGGCAGGCAGATGAGCAGGGCTGGGATGGTGATAACCGTTGGACACAAGCAAAACACCACAATTTCGGGAGCAGCGACGTGAGGCACCCACAACCATGCGGCCGGAAAATTCGATATGGATTCTATTTCGATAGCCAAGATGCGACGGAAGGCTCAACCCATGGTTGGGAGAGGCCGATCCCGCTTGGAATCCGCCAAAACTGGGCTTCTGGCGCTGCGGGACGCCTTGACTGGTTCGTCACCAGCACGGATGACCCGGGAGCGAAAAGACGCAGGTGCCGGCCACCAAGCAGGATCGCTTCCCAGCACGGCCGTCAGCCATGGACGCCTCCTGGCCTAGATTGCGGCCAGCGATGCACGCGGAGGCACACCAACGCTCAACGGGCATCGATACGGGCCCAAGTCCACGCCTAGCTCAGCCGTCCTATTGGATTCATCGACCGGTGGCGACTTGGCTTGCTGCATTGGGCGTGCCCATCGTGAGACTGGGCGCGAGCCTTTGTGGGCTCATCCTGATTGCGCAACCGGCCACGTTGTTGGGTGCGGAGACAGTCGCAGCGCCGTTCGCTCTCAGTTCGCCAGTGCGCAAGCCAGCTCGCGTCTTCACTCGCTGGCTGACGCTGCCGGGGGCGGCCCAGCGAGGTTAATGATGGTTCTCGGGCGGGAAGATGGCCGTGGTTGAGGTCTTGTGACGAGGCATTGGAGGCAGCGATGGGCAAAACAAGATGAGCAAGGAACGCAGAGTGGTGATTGGCGTGCCATGGAAATTTCTCCGTCTGCACGATCTCCCATCTCGTCCGCACGGCAAACGGCTGGGCGTGTCAGGGCTGGCGCTACAGAGTTTGCCGTGGCGTGCCACCAGCGCTTTGCCCCGATGAGTGCTGCAAATTACTCACACGAGACGGGCAGAACGCGTGGAGCGATGACTAACACGTCCGCCGCTCGCCGTTTGAGATTGGCAATATATTGGGGCGGCCAATGGCTCGACGGCGTGAAACGGGGCGAGCAAACTGTGGGTTGCACGCCGCCAGCCTTCCAGAAGAGTCACCGCCCGCGAATCACCTCACAGAGGCCAGCTGTCCCTCCAGCACGACGGCCAACTTTCGCGGCCAGATGCCAGGCGGGTGACGACCAAAGTCTCATTCGTTGTCAGCTGGAATGCAGCAAAATTAGACGGCACGGGTGTGCGGGCGGTGTTTGCACATCGTCCACCCCTCCCTTCCTTTGTTTCGACTCAAAGGAATGCACCGGCTGGCTGGCTGGCAAGCATCAAGGCGAAACGTGACGCTGGGCGCCTGGGTGCTATGAATATGCCCCGGCCAGGGCGTGTCCGCCACATCACATGCCTGCGCCAAGAGGCACCGAGCGGGGACTAGGAGCGGCGGGCGGCCGAGTTGAGGCAGGCGGGTGCCATGACTTGTTGGAGCGATCAGCATGTCGCGAGCTGGTTTCGTCATGGCCGCGGTGCTGGCGAGCATCATGGCGTCGACTGCTGGGACAAGGGCGTGTCATCGCTTTCGCGCTCCGCAGCGCTCGCCTCTCGGGCCAACCAGCACCACGCTCCATTGCGGATCGCCCATGCCCAATCTCGCCCACAACGGCAGCCTGTGCTCGCTACGAAGTGCTGCAAGACGGGTGCCGGTGTGATCGGAGCCAGAGAGACCAGAGGCAGACGCCCGTCCAGCGCCTCGTTGCGGCGCCGTGCAACGCTAGCCGGCTCGCTCGCAAAAGTGCATGGAGCCGCGTGCTGCTGGGTGTGGTATTTTTGCCTCCCGTCTCCAGCTGGCTGACGCTGCGTGACGGCCCAGCAACACAATGAACAAGGAGCAGAGCACTCTACGGCGGACGGCAGCGGCACGCGTGACAGGACGAAAGAGAGGGACCCAGGGCTGTGGAGTGCAGAGCAACGCGTCGCCCGAGCCGTTCTGCGCAGCGCTCAGCGCTGGTGGAGCCGTGAGCAGCCGCTGCGTTGCTCCCTTGAGCCCTCGCCGTGGAGTCGCTGGTCCCGAGCGGCTAGCCGGTGTGGGCGTAGGGCAATGCATGCAGCTCGTCGGGTTTGTCGGGGCTTCTGCTGCGCGGAGTGCGTCGAGCCCCAGCCGTGTGTCACTGAACGAGTGTCAAAGCAACCGGCCGCAGGCAGCATCAGCGCCACCAGACAAGCAGCCGACGAGGCACCTGAAGCGACTCTCGACGTCGGAGCGAGCCTGGAGAGCATGGCGATGCGAGGAACGGTCACTGATGGCGACGAAAAATGCGACCCTACAGCTGATCGGCTTGGGCTGGAAAGACCAGCCGGGCGTCGGCGTCTGTCTGTGCACCTTCTCCGTCGGCTTGCTTCTCTCTGCTCGCTGCCCGTCTGCTGCTCGCTGGCCTCTTCCTGTTCGGCTGGCGCTGATGATGGCTGCATGCATGTTGCTGGGGCGGCCGCTTGGTGAGGTCTGGTGGATGGCATGACACGGCGCTACAGAGAGCCCCGGCCAGGGCGGCATCTCGAGGCGGGACCACGCCCTGCTCCCAGCGGTCAGCCCGCCGGTGTGCTCAGGGTTGGGTGAGGGCGTGCGTGTTGGGGTGATGCAGGAGGGCCATGGATCCCGATTCCTGCGCCAGGGCTGCCGTGAGTGGGCCGGCAACGCTCCTTGTTGCCTCCCACGGGCGTTCTGGCGGCCCACTGTTCTTGCATGGCGGCGATGCACGCGATGCAAAAGCCGCTGCTCTCGTCATAGCGCGAGCCTAGCGCGCTCCTTCCTATTTGTAGAGGGCTGTCTCGCCCTGCAACGGCCCACTCCACGACCCCAAGCCTCCTGCACCACTCATCACCCAGCCCCAGCCCACCCCGGCCACCGCGCAGACTACATACATCATACTCGCAGGCCTGCCTCCCGATCAACCACCGCGACCTACACTTCACCACCCGCACTCCTTCACCACTTGTCTGCTTGCCCACGCTCCCTCAGCCTCCTCGTCGTCTCTACCTCAGTGCTCCACCTGCTTCACCCCTCGCCCCCTCATCTACGACGACCTGCTCGCGTCCATCTGCTCTCTATCTCTTTAATACGTTGCCGTTCTCTTTTTCTTGAGCCGCGCACAGGATCCCTTTGGACTCCCGGACTCTGCCTTCCTTGCGGCCTTAGCTGGATCGTGAGGACCCCCTCTCCGCGCCCACCACAGCATGTTGCCCACCCCTCCCGCATCGCCCACCCTTAATGGATTCTGCGCGCCGGAAGAACGTCTAGGCCAGATCCTGGCCGGCCGTCTGCAACTGACAGGCATCCTTGGAGTCGGAGCCTATGGCGTGGTGTACACAGCCGTGGACATTCATACAAGCATTCCCTATGCCGTCAAGGCACTGAACAAGCTAGGTTTGGAGCCCCGCCAGCGGAAGTTCCAGCAGCGCGAGATCCAGCTTCACCACCAGGCGTCCGCCCATCCCAATGTGGTTTCCTTGGTAAAGATCATGGACTCTCCTGACTGCACATACGTGGTCATTGAGTACTGCCCGGAGGGTGATTTGTTTTCCAACATCACCGAACGAGGCAAGTATACTGGGAACGATGCCCTTGCCAAGCGGGCCTTTCTCCAGATCTTGGATGCCGTGGAGTACTGCCATTCCATCGGAATCTACCACCGGGACCTGAAGCCTGAGAATATCCTGGTCACCGACCAAGGACATACCGTCAAGCTTGCCGACTTTGGACTTGCCACTGCCGACCACCTCACCTCGGATTTCGGATGCGGTTCGACTTTCTACATGTCACCAGGTAATTTTCCTCGCCTTTAATCATTTGGTCACAGCCCGAGTCAGATACTAACCTTCCCCTCAGAATGCCAGACTTCCTCGCCTAAGGCCTATTCCTGCTATGCATCTGCTCCCAACGATGTCTGGTCCCTAGGAGTCATTCTGGTCAATCTCACCTGTGGGCGCAACCCGTGGAAGCGTGCCTCGTTCGAGGATACCACATTCCGGGCGTACATGAAGGATCCCAAGTTCTTACGGTCCATTCTCCCGTTATCTGCTGAGCTGGATTCCATTCTCAAGCGTATTTTTGAGTACAATCCTGCCAAGCGGATTACCATTCCGGAGCTGAGGCAATTGATTCTGAACTGCTCAATATTTACCACGAGGTCTGCAGCCCCCGCGCCGCTTCCCTCGCCCCCCTTCAAGCCAGTGGATTATGCCAGAGATACTGCCTTCAACGGAATCTATCAGGTACATACTGGCCCTCCAGTCACCCTCCCCGCACCACTTTACGTCCCATCCCACTTGGAGCTACCCTATACGCAACACTCCACGTCTTCCGGAAGCTCCGACTCGGACAATGATTCTGTGTTCTCTTCCAGTTCGTCAGTCTCATCTGCCTCGTCAACTTCCTCCTTCACCCATGTTCCGGCTGCGCCAAAAGGTTCTTCCCGCGGAATCCAATCTTCATACGTTTCCCCGCCACCCACCGCGTGGTACAATCCCTTCGTCCAGGCGGTCAACCTCGTCAAGCACGTCTCGTTCCAGCCTCCAATGATGGCCGCCCCAGTCCACGTATATTGACCGGACTGCCTGGCTTGGCCACACTGTACGGACCGTTCCTAATCGATGAAATACGCTTCTTGCCACGATGTGTTTATATAGCCCCCATTTGTTTTTCTTGTTCACAAAAGTCATGAAGAGATGAAAGCGTGTGTGGTTGTTGTCCCTTTTCTGCAGCGGTGTTGGTGTGGTCCTTTATTTATCCGAATCGAGTGTTCCGGCGTTGCGAAAACTTAGACCTATCGGCGCATCCGGAATCTGCCGAGCGAGAGAGAACGATGCTTCCGGAACATACCCGGATTCCACCTAGTATCTTTGGAGGAGACATTATTACCTTTGTCCTGGATGGAGGATAGCTCTGATGAACGATTAGAAAACGTTTCCGGTCTCAGCGTTGTTCATCCCGGATGGTTGTCTTATTACCGGTTTTCTTATTTACATTGGGAGGTTGTCAGCAAGTTCAACAGCGCGCAAATGCCTAGATGGCGGTGGTGTTTTCTCGTTCCTTACTTCACGGAGTTGTTACCTGGTCGGGTTGTGGCCACAACGGGGGGGGAGCAAAGCTTGTGGTCCTATTCGCATTTACATGGAGTTGAAGAGTATTGCCTACTTAATGGTCCATCCACCACGGCGAGCATGGGAGGTTCCGCAGTGGAGATTGATTCACGTTCATTCATGTCGTCATGACGACGGCCCCTTCTTTCCTTTACTTCTTTGAAAGATCTCGATACCAGAGCCATCTTGTTGGGCTCACTACTACGTTTTTGTCTGTACGCTATATGCTGGCTCGCAAGAGCCAGAAGCGAGGAGCGAGATGCTTGAAGATATGAATCAAAACACATACGTTGTGACTCGGCTGCGGTCGTGTCGCGCAAGCACACAAAAATCTGAACTCTAGTCATGCGCGAGTATTGTGATGCTGCTGCCGACGTCCCAACCCACGGATTCTCGTAACGGATCCTTCGTGATGATGGTCCACCGGGATCCGCCATGGATACGAACCTCTGAATATCCCACCCAGGCCTCCCAGACGGTCGGAGGCCGCTTTCGGAGTCGTCTCCTCGCGCTATAGAAGCTATTTCCGAACTACCCATGAAAGTCGGCGAGATTGCACTCGGATCCTCTTTTCCCACGATTGACTTTCTGGTTAGCGACCCCCGCGAAGCGCGTGGCTACCAGTCGTGTCTACACTGGGATCGTAAAAATGGAAATTGCGATTGTTGACTTTGATACCCATATACATGAAGCCTTTCCCAATCCACAAGCACCCACACAAGCGAGCTTGGAGGTCTAAACGTGGATTCAGCCTAATGCTCACTCGACACCCATGGATCTCAAGACGCACGCAGCCTATCCAAAGCCCTCATTCGCCCAAAAGCAAACGCAAACCCAAAACAACCAGTCACCGCAGCCGGGCCCGTCGCAACCACACACGCTTTTCCAAGTTTGCTTTTTTTTTTTCGCGACTCCGGTAAGTGAGGCGTACTTGGAATGGTCAGATGACCCCGGACCTCTTAGGTAGGAAGTGCAGGCGAACGATGCGGGCTGCAGGCTGACCGGAAGCAAGTCAGCGCAACGCAGCGCAGCCCGATTCCATTCGTTCTCCACACGCTCACTTGCAGAGTGCAGCTTTCGCTTCGCTTACCCGCCCGTCTCACTTGCCTCTGACTTGACGGGGCCTGGGCGAATGCTGGAGAAGCCCAGGTGGTGGAAACTTGCTTTTTGGGTGGTTGGTGTTGAGGGGTTTTATTTTCTGGGGACCGGTCACTGGGGCGGCCAACCGGTTAGTGCTCCGCTGCGGCTTTTGTGGACTTTTGGGATTTTGGGGGAGGGAGGCATACCGGGAATCTGGCCGGCTGCCTGGTGGATGATGAGATGGAGAGAAGAGCCAAGACACGACGCTGTCCTGCTGTGACATGGGCCCATTTGCTCCCTTCCCTCGTGCCTTGAGGCGTGAAAGCTTCACTTTTTCTCGAGGAAAATTACGCCGCCCTGGTTAGGCCGGGACAGCACGGCCCGGGATGAGCTGTCCCGCATATTTGCTGAAACCCCTCTAATACCATCCGTAATTTACGACCGTTAGCTTCCCCACCATCTCCCTCGCTCCCTCTTTCTCTCCCACATTCCATCAGGCCACCTCTAACAAACACTCCCATAGAGTGCGATCTAGGTTAATAACGATGCGACCGATGCAACGTTCTCCTATCCGTCGTCGTTGAGGAATATTGGATCTACAGCCACTTACGCATTACCCATGCGGCACATGCATCCATTGGGGCAGTGCCGCCGATGCGATGATGGGTGTGCGTGGTGATCTATCTCTTCTGGCCACTGCGCTGGGGGTGAAGGTTGGGAAGCCTGGTCGGTGGGTGGAAAGGGTGTCGGGGGGTTAGCCGAATATAGTGTGATATCCGGACGTCGAGATATTGAACAGGGTGGGGAGGGGTTCAGGCGGGAATGGATGGGTGGCTGTGGTTTGTTGAGGGTGTACAGCGGTTCACGAGGTTGATGGGTGTGAGGCGCAGGCAGCAGCGATATTGGATAGATGAAGGTGGAGTACTGATAGATTAAGGGGAAGATTAATATGTGAGTAAAGCTCTATCAGCGAAGACCGTAGTGCTCTCAATTCCGGTATGGCCGTTGGTGGCAGTAGGAGAGTCGGAGGACGGGTCGTTTCCTGTCTGGGTATGGTGTACACGTGACTTGAGTCTTGAGGTTGGGGATAGCAGTAGTGTGGTGACTATCTCCCTTCTGCAGTCTGCCGACGCACCTCACTCTCGCCCACTCCGTGGACCCTCACATACGGACTACCTGCTAGCATTGAAGAGGCTCGAAATGTCTACTCACCCGCATCGTGAAGTTTGATGCAGTGGAAATTAGGCTACCTTTTAATCAGCTAAACACCTGCTGGCGGGGCCACTCCTCATAGTGGTGTCGAGTGAACAAGAAACGAGCCTGAGCAGTGAGATTTCCGCGTGTCCAAACTTATGACCTAGCACTATATCTAACCTTACGTCTACAAGAATGCAACGAGCGTGACTGGAAAGAAGTTCTCGTTCTTCTCAAATGTCATTACATGGGTCAGATTCGCAGACTTGTACTTTATTAATTCTATTGGGTATTTATTGGAGAGCAAGCGCCATGCAAGCGAGAAGTTATGGGAGAAGCAAAGAAGAAAACCACTAGGACCAGCGCTTTCCTATCGTTTGCTCGCAACACATTCCGTCAAGAATAGTGGACTTAAAGAGACAGAAGAAGAGAGGCCTCAATGGCCCATAACTCGACGCAAGAGCGGTTGAAATAATGCCGAGAACGTGGTGGAGAAGGAGTAGGCATTTGTGTAGGAATTGGGCTGCCTTGAACGCGTGGGATGCTAAGATAGGGCTGGTACAATGGGCAAAGGCTCTCCTCGGTTTGCTACATCAGCGACAATATCTTCCCTTGCTAAGATGTGGCGTTCTTGACCAGCCGCTCTTCGAAATAGGCGTGATGGTAACTGGCCTAACTAGTGAGACCGTCCGGATGAATCCCATGGTCCTTGAGAATATCTGCGGCTACCTCCCGAGAGACCTGCATATTCGCCATGCAGCTAATTTTGGCGGTGCGAATAAGCACATGGAGCTATGCTTGACGATTGAAGGGGCCAAGAACGGCGGTCGCATCAGGATTTCTAACTACGAGTCCCGAATTCCCTGCGTTGGGTCTGATGTCTCCCGGAGGGTTGGTGCGACGCGTTGACTTCGGACTGGGCCGCTCCATCGGATACGGAGTCGGATTGCTTACGTGCGCTGGTGTCGCTTGGGACCAGTCGGGGGCTTAGTGGCACGGCTCAGACGTTCAATCCGCCGACCACTCGTGGGAGTGGAGGGCGCGACGCCACCGCTGAGATCTGGGGATATGCCCAACGTCTGGCGAGGTCGGCAGCGGCGGCTTCATCCCGTGCACGTCGAGTCCTGGCCTCATCTTCGGCGCGGATCCTGGCTTCATCCTGGGCGCGGCAAGCAGCTGCAGCGCGGCGAACAGCTCCGGCTTGACGTTGCTGTTCTGTCAGGACGTTGTCGTCGTCACTCAACTCTGCTCCCTGCTCATACTGCTGCTGATCGTTGGTCGCGGGAGGTGTCTGGGAGGTCATATTGAAAAGTCTGTGGTGGAGAGTCGTACCGACGTGCGTTAGACAAGGCCCAGTCAAAGTGAGCCGTGGATGCAAAGGTGTGAGGGCTAGACCGAGCAGCTAGCTGGATTGTGTGCGGGTTGATACGGTCGAGGTGGAGGAGGTTGTAGATGTACAGGAGGTCAACGGGGCGGTAGAGCTACAAGGCCAGGAGCTGGGCAAAGGTGAGATCCGACCGAACAAGTGAAGCGAGATGAAGTGAGATGATATCCTCCTCACGTGAAGTGAGACGGCGGTGAGCGTCGGCTTAGAAATGACACGGCATCACAGATCCAATGCAATGAACTCGAGCGGATTCGCGAGCGGGTTCTCTGGGAGTTGGCGGACCTTTCGCCGCAACCTCTGAGACGATAGGCTTTGGTGTTCCATCTAAAGGAAAGAGGTGAGATAGAAGACCTGTGGACTTGAGATGGAAGACGTGAGATAGAAGAGGTGAAATGGCAGACGTGAGATGGAAGAGATGAGATGAGATGAGTTGGCGTTCCGTGAATCCCTCCCCAGAACAAGCCTATATATTTTGGCCAATTCTGCAATCCCCCAACTAATTCGAGCAGCAGGCCGGTCGGGCGCAGTGGCAATAGCCCTGCGCAAAGTAGTCAGCGTCCCCTTCCGGGACGTCGTACCCCAACAACCTACAGGGGCTGTGAGTTCGAATCCAGCCCTTGTCAGGAATCGACATTATGGCAGTTTCCCGAAGAATCACCCGAAAGGCCGCGCAGCGTGGAAACATAAGCCCATCGTCGCGGACGGAGTAAACGCCCGGAGTTTCTACATCCTCCCCCAAGGAGGGTGGTCTTTTGCTCTCTGAATATGATTTTATTTTTTTCGTTATGTCGCCACTAGGGTGGTGCAGGAGAGGGATGGAGAAAACGGATTAAGGCGAGGAGGAGATGAAGAAGGCAAGCCAGGCGGAGACGGAGATACAAGCGCCATGGGAAGCTGCCAGTAAACTGTCAATGAATGGACGGGCGTCTAGTTCACGCGCTTCGGAATGGATATTCGCGTTCCAGATTTTGGCACCTTTGAGCTACCCCAGACGGTGTCAGCAGGGTGTCAGGACCATTGCTGAAGCTTCTTGGTTTAGACGTCTTAGTTCCTTGCTCTCCCAGAGAATGATAGCAGTGAAATAAAGCAGACATGTTACAGGTTTGTAAATTAGAACCTACATACACGTACATTACCAAATCTTGAACTTATTTGAGGTACTCGTACCATCACGATCCTGAATCGTCTTTTGTTTCAACCCCCACTCCGATATTTTTATCCACCTCCACCGGCCACTTGCCCAAGCTCTCATACCACTGAATCGCACTACCTATCAAGAAGGCCCAGCTACCCCAAAACGTGCTACAGCTCGCCTGGTACTGCGCCCAACTGTGCGTATCATATCCAAAAGCGGGACAAAGCGTGAACCCGAGTCCACCGATGGTATTCCAGAATCCAATGTGCCACCCCAGCGTACCGAGAGCGGGCTTGTACCATTTCGACTGGGTCTCGATCATGAAGAGCAAGCCCGAGAGTACGAAGCCGGTGCCGCCAAGCACTTGCGGTGTCCAGTAGATGCCAGCTTCGAGGCCGGTGGAGAGGTGGTTTAGGACACCAGGGAGCGCGGTAAAGCCAGAGATCCAGAAGACGGATGCGGCGAGGAATTGGGTGAAGGAAGCCAAAAAGCCGAGGCTGTGGAGGTGGTGTGTCAGGAGATCATGGGTGGAAGGCCACCATGTCCATGTCTTGTCGGACTCGGCAATACTGTCGTGGGAGCTGGAGGCAGTGCCCCCTAAACTCCGTTTGTTCCTGTGGTGATGCACACATGTTTGGCCCGAGGGGTGGAACTGTAAGGTATGGTCCTCCAGAGCTTGAGAAACGGCCCAGCCGAAGCAGCCAGTGCGGGATTCATTGATGCTTTCGAATAGGAGTAGTATTGAGCCGATTTCGAAGATTGTAGCGCCGATGAAGGCGGTGATGCCGCCGCCGGTCAATTCCTCGTTTTTGAATTCCGTGGAGGGTTTTATGAGTGGGAGGAAGACGAAGAACGCGTTTATAACCCATACCACACTACCGAGTGTGAAGAGGACCGCCACGTCGTAAGATATGTCCCAGATGGGGTATGTGGTGACCATGCGAAGTATGCCTTGAGCAATGCCACGAAGGGAGGCGGTAGGAGCTGGTGTGGTGTATTTCGCGCTAGATTTGGCGTATGCAGGGTTGACAAGGAGAGTATGTCGCCCTTTGCGGTTGTTGCGCGAAGTCCACTTGTAGGCAACGCTGGAGGCTGGCTGGGTATCCTCTGAAGACTTCTCGTGTGCTTCAGACTCTTCATCTTCTCGGATGTGCGTGGAATGGGGCTCGACGTGTTTCCCGAACTTGGAGTTAGGGTTGAAGTTTGCGCTTGTTGGGTTTAGGAAAGATAGCGGTCCGTTGACACGAGTGGTATCGAGGTCGAGGGATGAGTGGGATTGAAGTGGAATGTGTGAAGAGTGGAAGGCTTTGTTTCGTTGCGTCCTTCGCCGAGTTTGATCGCCTGAGGAGGAGGTCTGGCTGCGTCGGGGGTGTTCAGGATGAGGCATTGAGCCATCTGCTCGGTATGACTGGCTTCTGCGCGTGATGGGTGTCGGTCGGGACGTGTCGCCGTCGACTGCTGGCGGGGAGTCTTTCTCCATTGTTGCGAGGGAATGAGCGTGGGCTGTGGGCGCAAAGGCAAGAATATGGGTGAATGTTATTTAATTATAACGGAGCGGCGAAGGCATAGTGGCTATGGTAATGCTTAGAGGTCAGAAGACTCCCAGATTTGATGAGGTGGAGCGTCATCGCCCTAGTGTACTAGCGAGGTGCCTGCCAAGTGCCAAGTTTTGTGTACGGCGGCAGCGGGTGATCGGCATGTGGGCCTGGACTCTTTCTTTCAACCTCATCGTCAGCTTCATATATTCCATTGCTTTCATCACATTAGTCGAAGAAAGTGGCTAGTGAGGTATCTCTATTATGGATGCCATCAGTTATTTTGAACATTGGCCAAGCTCGCCTGTGTATACAAAGAATACGTTCCGCTGCTCGATTCATTTTGGCATTCTGCAGTCGCTGGGACTTTTCCGATGCCCTTCTCAGGTTTTGCAGTAATGTAGAAAGTCAATCTGAATCCTGTGAACTATAACGGCCCGGCCCAATATATGTACATCAATAGTGAAACAAAGTTGGCCCCAAATCACGAAGTCGTTGAGTCCAGGAAATCAAACCCTTCGTAATTGAACGGCTTGAAGAGCTCGTTTGAAAGATCAGCGCCTGAACTGCCTAGTAGGGTATCAAAGTTTTCGAAAGCAGTATCAAAGTTCAGCCAGTCGGGGGAGGAGTCGGTAAAGTCGAAATCATTCATTGGGAATTGTTCCGCACGCTCGCTGCTGATAGGATGCTGGCCAGGCATCTGAACTGGAGTGTTCATGTTGTAATTCATCAAAGGAGTCGGCGCTGAGTTGTTGAGGCGTGAGTCAACTGAATGGTTCGAGTGCGTTTGCTGCTGATTTGATGCCGAGCTTGCGGGATTTGCGGAGGTGGCATTGCTCTTCTGCGCTGATCCAGTCGACGGCTGTATGGATCTAGGCCTGCTGCTATTTCGCTCGTCATTACTCAAGGCTGCCATGCCTAGGTCAGCCATGGCGCCTGCGGACCACCACGCTGTTCGGAGGCGGTTCAAGATCTTGACACATTGCTTGAGTTCTTCCTTCGCACGATTTCGATGCATCTTAAGCCGCCGCTGTCGCCAATGTCGATAGACTACGCTCATCGCTAGAGACAGAGCGTATGGTACTATTGGTAAAGGTGGCAGAGATTCAGGAGGCTCGCTGGTCAGAATTGATATCACGCGAGTCGCTGATAGGCTCTGCCGAACGTTCGAGCCTGTTGCTCTAACCGGGTCGTTGATCGAGAGCGATTTATGAGAAGCCATCGCCATCGAGTGGTGGAATAGGGACAACAGAGCTAGCGAAGTCAGCCACGTGACACGTATTTAGAACCAAGCACATACTTATCATCGGACCTTCAAGTCTATCCTCTCCATCACCAACCAACTCCTCGAAACCTAAGAAGTCGTCGTCTTCCCATCCGGTCACCGCAGGGTCTACACCAGGACGATAAAAGTCAATGACTTTGTCCAACATCTTAGATATCTGGAGCCAAACTCCAAAAGGGCTTTGGCGTTTCTCCTTGTCCATCTCAGTTGGAATCTTAGTGAGGCCGTTGTCGGCATCATTCATAATCAAAGGCCTTCCGTTGATGCAAGCGTTGATTTTGTCGAGACTCCAAAGACACCAAAAGATATCGTTATGGCTGTCGGAGTGCTCGTCTCTTGTATGCTTCCACTGACGGCCAAAATGGAGGCCAAAGGTGTGTGCATGATGAATCGCCTGGGCTAAATGCATGGAGGATTCCTCGGCTCCGTCAGGTCCTTCGCAGTGTAATGAAATCAGGGCTAACACCTGGACAAGCACGATACGATTGGTCTCCAGTTTCGCCTCTATCGAAGTGACGACGGACGTGTAAAGCCTCTGGGAGAACTCTCTAGGGTTGAGAAGACGTGGATCATCGGACAGAATTAGATGTGGTCGGGCTTCGACATGCTTGGACGCTACAATGAAGATGGCTTGGAGCAACGTTCGTGACTCGGTGTCGTTGGCGTATCTTGCTAGAAAGAGTTTCTCGTCCAATATCGGCAAAAGAGGCTGCACGTAGGTGAAATAAATACGGAGTAAAGCTTGCTGATTTTCTCGATTTGGTACGATGGATACTCCGATGGCATCTAGATAGTTTTGCAATGCTGCTTGAATTACCACTGACTTGGATGACGGGAGACTGGTGTCATTGATCGGCGTGTCAGGTGGGCCAGGTCGACTTCCAAATTCAGGTTCTCGTTCGTTCTCTCGACCTTGGACCCACTGTCCCAGTGGAACGCAATGCGCAGCGGGAGGTTGTCCACGGGCGTGGATCTCTTCCCGAAGAACGGCCTCTGGATTGAGATAGCCTACAAAACTTGGTGGCGTCGCGGGTCTGACATTCTCTAGTGGGATTTGGGGGCTGTGTCGTTGCTCGTTCCCTGAATCAGGAGTGAGTTCGTTGAAATGCGATGGAATATCTCCAGAATGGCCGGAGTGGTCCGTCCGCGAGGTTCCAGGGTCAGTTGTTGGGGGCCGACCATCAGGAGGACTCTCGGTAGTGGTGTCAAGAGTTACATCATCATCAAATGTATGGCTGCAGCGCTTCTATTTGTTTTGTTAGGGCGCTGCCCGCGACAAACTCGGATTATCTTACTCTGCGCTTCTTGCAAGCTTCACATGCCCGATGAACTGCATCAAGTTAATGAATGAATATGGCTGGTATGGCTCGAGATGACCATACCTCTCTTCCGCTTCCGGAAGAACTCGTTGCTGTGATGCTAATGAGCCTTTTGTCGCGACATGAGAGATTTTACTGACTTGGCGGCAAACGTGATCATAGTCGACATGGCGGCGGGTCTCGGAACTCGGAGCAGTTAAGGTGTGCGGCGCTGTCGCAATATCAAAGGCTCAAGGGGCGGCGAGGAAGCGCCCAGCTGCATCAGAGGGCCAGTTTTGCGGGCGTGGTATCGGGTGCTGGTGGTTCGAGGATCGCGGTGTGATGTGGAGAGAGGCGGTCGGTCATCCGCGACCCACTTTTTCTCCACGTCTCAAGCTTCTAGTTTGCGGCTCCAGCTCCGAGGTATTGGACCTCTAGCGCTTGTCCGCCTCAAAACACCACATCCCCTATTCTAATCGCGGCGACTATTCGTCAGCCATGCCAAGGCGGCGCTTTGATGAGGTCTCAAGGTGATGCTAAAGCCTGATTATCCTTCTCGAAGCTGATTCCATTTGGATGGTATATAACGACGCTTTGACAACAGAGATACCACTGCAGAGCCCTCCCAACGGTCGTAAGATGAGCTATTTCCCAGCTCTCTGATTCTGGGTGTATCGCTCTGCTTCTTTCAAACTGGACCGTATCCTGCCATGCTACATCCTACAGTCATATACCTGCTAGTAACGCCTACCGCTCTGGCAATAGAAATACCATTGCGATGCACCCCCAACAGTCGCAAGGGATTCGTTTTGCGAGCCTTTGATTGGGCGTAAGCGGACACAACCTCAAGTCCACCTCACGCAGCCTACTCGGTAGTACTAGCAGCCTTTGCGTGCTCTCGAAGCCTCTCTCGGACCGTCATCAGGGCCTTTCCGAGCAGGTTTTGGCCCCATTTGTGACGATTCCGCTCCGCTCCCTTCTCTGCAAAGCCGACGCCCCATATCTTATCGAACGGCGAGGCCTGCAAGATCGTCAGCATCTTCTAACAGTTCTAACATATGCAACTACGCACCTCAACGAGTTCCCGATCCCCAGTCGCTAATAACAACTTCTGCAGCTCCACCGCCTGCTTACTCTTGGTGAACTTGTGCCAGTTGCCTTCCTCCACAATCCGCAGTTTGTCTACAAATGTCAACAAAACTCTCATCAAGCGTCCTGATCAACTCACTGTCATCCCACACTTTCGGGTCAAAATCTGTCACCTGTCGCCCTAGAACCTTATGTGTTTTCGGATCGGTCTCTATCAGCATTCGCTGCGCCACATCCTGCATGGAAACCGCCATGTCAGCAACCACTCTATAGCTTCACGCGACATTATGCAACTGAAGCGTCACCCACCTCGTCCCCAAACAACCGCGCTTTCGACACCATCATCCACATCTCCGCCGAGCTATACGACGCGCCCTCATGCTCCCATTCGCTCTCGTACCACTGCGATAGGAAGCCATAAGCGTGGCCGTATTCGTGCCAGAAGAAGATCGCGCCGGTGCTCTCTGCATCTGGAGATGCGGAAGATGTGGTGGAACTTGTAGCGGTGGCTTTGCCTTTGCCTTTCGACTTTCGCATTTTGGAGGATTAAGAGAGAAAAGGATTGTAATAATTATTCAGGCAGCCTTATGTCGCTCTGACTCAATCTTCATAATTGGCACGGTGATGGTTAGGTGTGGCTGTGGCTGTGCAGCTGTGACTCCGCACCTCAGCCGCTTGACCGTTGGTCGAGAACGCCTAAATGAGCCACAGTTCTGGGTCGCGGGATCCAGGTCGCCTGATTTGGGCCCGGTGCGTGTTTATTTTGACCGCTTGTTGGCGCCGTCTGAGGTCCTTCAATGAGTTTACAGGGTGAGAATTTACCTAGAAACCACGGCTCGATTTGGGCTCTCGGAGCTGATGGAAATTCTAGGGACGCGAAATCAGTGAATATAATCGTCACAATTGCACGCTCAGGAAATTAGTTGAGGCGCTCCTGACGTTGGCATGATGTGGTCAAGAGATTATCTGGACATGCCCTAAATTAGAGCAGGTATCCTGCTCAACGCCAGCAGGCTTCGAATCAAGTCGCTGGACCGTCACCTTTGCAGAGTTGTTAAATTAGCTGAGGGCCCTCAGACGGTGGCAATACGTTGCCAAAATTCTCGTTCGGGTCTCCTAATTGGACCTGCCCCGGTGGCTGCTCTAAGACTTTACATCGATCTACGACAGCACGCAGATCAAGTCGGGACACGGCCTACACACAGTGAGTTATTCCAAGCCTGCTTTGGGGCTCACGTACCAGACGCTAATCATTCTAGACAAGATGGCCTTGTGTGCGCGGTGCTACGGCGAGGGCATTCCCTTCCTAGTGCTCGTTATTGACTGGTACATCACGGTAGGAATCATGTCACCAAGAGGACGCATAGCTGATTAGCGAATGAATTGAGACAAATGGGACCTCAGCTCCAGCGAGACAAAGGAAGAGCAAGGATCTCGCCTCGCCAAGGCCTTCATGAAAGCAGGAGACGCCGGACGAGCGGTCTACTATAAGCGGTGTCTTAACTAGTTCGAAAGCGGGACACTCCCGCTGCAACTCAGGTTGAAAATTGATGTGAACTCTGTCTTATTTCGGGGGCCCGAAGGC